AGCAAGGCCGACAGCATCCCATTGTTGTACCTCGTCAATGGTAGCCACTCCTGGGAGAAACTTCTCAGCAAGTTCGTCTGTCAGTTCTGGTAGTTCCCTCACAAAGAGCTCCTGGCACTTCACCTGGGGGGGGAGAGGAGGGAGGGGAGGGGGCGGGAGGGGGGTTGACGAGACCCGGGAGAGCAATGGAAGGGAAGTTGGGAGTGAGAGCGGATGCGACATGGGGTGGGTGTAAAACTGTGCAAGGAGCACAACAATGCAGAGTAGTGTAAAAATTGGTGCAGAACAGCGGAGAGAGCAGCAGAGCGGATGAGAGAGGGCGCACAGTGAAGGTGGCGGGCAGGTTGCGGAGGGACTCCGTCTGCCACGTGGGCGGGAAGGTGAGCTGGAACTCCCTCGTCTGGCCGCGCTGCATGCCTATGAGCGCGTCCACCATGCCCGGCAGCAGATACTCGCCCTCCTCTGTGTCGAGCTGAAAGCCTGGCGCACGGTTGGGGGGGAGAGAGAGGGCGGAGAGGGAGGTGGTGGGGAGCAAGGTGGGACGCATGGGTAGCAGATAGATACTCGCCCTCCTCCGTGTCCAGCTGAAAGCCTGGGGTAAGGTGGGGGGGAGGTGATAGGGGAGGTGATAGGGGAGGTGATAGGGGAGGTGATAGGGGAGGTGATAGGGGAGGTGATAGGGGAGGTGAAGGGGAGGTGAAGGGGGAAGGTGAGGGGGGAGTGGGAAATGGTGGGGAGCAAGGTGGGTGAATGGAATGGGCAGCAGGGGTGAAGAATGTGAGGGTGGACGGATGTGGGTGCTGGTAGGTGGAGGAGGGGTAGATGGGGGCGGGCAGTGAGGCCACATGGCAACTGGGGTTGATGGGGCACATGCCAGTGAGTGGGCGCAATGCCTTGCATTACAGGACGGAGGAGCGGGGTACCTTTCTGAGTGGCGGAGAGGATGGGGTCGCCCTTCTGTCCGTCTGCTGTGATGCGATGCGCCTCAATGTCCACAATGGTCACATCGCCCATCTGCATGCATGCATGCGCCAATGCATGCACACGTGCATACATGGGTTCACACAAGCAGAAAAAAAAAAAACGTTTAGCTTCAGAAACAATGTGCTGGTGTGTGCACGAGCAGTCATTTGTGCATGGGTGTGGTGCGGAAGCGTGCACGGGTGTGCATGTGTGCATGTCAGTGAACGTGTGAGCATGCATGGGCATGCAGCAGCGCACCTTGAGCCCGGCGTCCTGCGAGATGTTAAGCCGCCCCATGCTCTTGAGCTGCGTGCGGATCTGCCTGTCTGCCGCCGCCCTGGCCGCCTCCTCCCCGTCGTCCTCCACCTCCACCTCCACCTGCAGCGCTGCATACGGCCGCTCGCCCTTCCACTTCACTGACGGCGCCACGTCCACTGTCACCTCGTAGCTGATGGGGGAGGGTTAGGGGGAGGAGAGGGGGGATGGGCGGGGTGTTGGTTTGCGAAGACTCAACACACTTGCTGCGCTGCGTACAAGCGCTCGCGCTTCCACCGCACTGACGGCGCCACGTCCACTGTCACCTCGTAGCTGATGGAAGGGGCGAGGAGAGGGGAGGTGAGAAGGGCGGGGATGCCGCATGATGCAATGTGGCGTGCTGAGGAGATGTGATGTGATGTGATGTGATGTGATGATGGGAGCGCATGAGTGAAAGGAGTGTGGGGGGAATGATGAGGAAGCGGACTGTTGAGGGAATTGACTGAAAAACAAAGGGAGTGCGGGAAGGAGGGAGTGGCGCTGACGTGAGGGAGCTGTCGGGTTGGAAGGCGGCAACGAGGTCGTCCACGTTGGATGTGATGTGTTCCGAGTCCTTTAGCGCCCTGCCCGCCACCTGATGCCATGCGTGCATGCATGCAGGGCAGCACATACACACACACGTACATGCACGCGTGCAATGCAACACATGTCCAACACATGTGACATGTTCACAGCACACATTGAGTGAGACATGGGGCATGCACACATGCATGGCATGGGGCCAGCTCCAGGCGATGCAAGAGGCACAGCGCCCCTGGGGCAGAAGCAGAGGGCATTGAATCTCGCCGGCATGGGGGCAACAGGTGGAGAGAGTGGGGCGGGCACGAGCAGTGCGGTGTGGGAATGGGCGCAAGGGAGGTGGAGAGAGGCGGGTGCGGGATGAAGGGCACACGGAGGCGAGTGGGGGTGGGGCAAGGGGGTGAGAGAGGGGGGCGCGCACGGAGGCGAGTGGGGGACAAGAGGGGGGAGGGGAGAGGGGGGCGCGCACGGAGGCGAGTGGGGGACAAGAGGGGGGAGGGGAGAGGGGGGCGCGCACGGAGGCGAGTGGGGGACAAGAGGGGGGAGGGGAGAGGGGGGCGCGCACGGAGGCGAGTGGGGGACAAGAGGGGGGAGGGGAGAGGGGGGCGCGCACGGAGGCGAGTGGGGGACAAGAGGGGGGAGGGGAGAGGGGGGCGCGCACGGAGGCGAGGGCGTCGGAGAGGGTGGACTGCAGGAGGAGGTCGAGCGCTTGCAGCTTGACTGGTCGCTCGCCGTACTCGCGCACCAACAGCCACTCCGGTACCCTGTCGCCCTTCCTGAACCCCTTTATCTGCGCCACGCCAGGGGGGAAGAAAGGAGGGAGCAGGCAAAGGTGAGTGAGTGCGGGCCGTTGGAGGTGGTGAGAGAGCGGCAGTGCGATGCGAATGTGTGGGCAGACAGGAAGGTGGCATGGCATGGCATGGCATGGCACGGCATGGGAGTGCGGTGTGGTAGCCACGGAATGGCGGAGAGTAGCGACATGTGATGAGCCAATGCCGGTCACCTCAGTGCGTGTGCTGCGAGTCCGCTCACCTGAGTGGTGCGCATCAGCTCCTTAACGGTCTTCTGCCACGTGTCAGCGCAGATCGCGGCGGGCACCGTCACCGTCAGTCGAACCTGCTCACAACGCGCCGCACGGCACGGCACGGGGGTATAAGTAGGGGCGAGGTTGAGGGGACAGGGTTCTGCGCGCGCGTGTTGCTGCGTGCCCGCGCTGTTGCGTTCAGACAGCCACGGCGCGCGAACCCGTTCTCACTGTCGCCCTCTCGCCTCGCCCACCCCGCCTCGCCGTTGCTCGGCGCATCTTCCTTCTCGGTGCACGTCAGTGCGTGTCGGCCATGGCCTGTTGCCCACAATGCGGCAATCACGATCCAGCCTTTTCCAGCCAGCTACGAGCCACGTGGCATTTTTCCATGGCGAGCGACGCGAGCGCTGTGGAAAATGCCCGCGATACGCGATTGCTTGCGCGAAGGCCAGGCGGCGAGACGACAATGTGGGCATGCGAGGATACCAGCGTCGCCGCGGCAGCTAGCGGCTGCAACGAGGGCCCACGACATGGCGCGAACACGGCTACTGCCGGGCGAGGGGGAAACGAACCTCCGCGCACCAAGCAGCGCGGGTGTTGCGCGCAACTCACCCGCGAGTTCTCGTCCTCCTCAGACTCCGTCACCTCCACTCGCGCCTTCTCCGCCTTCGCCTTGCCCTTCGCCTTCGCCTTTGACTTGCCGCCCCCCTCCGCGGACGCTGTCGTTACAACATGTCTGGCACGTTCGCCAACCGTCGCCGAGCGGCGCAGCTGCTTTCGCCGGCAGCATTCGTGCGACTGGCTCTTTAACGGTGCGCCCAGAAACGAGCAGGCAGGTCGAGCACTGGTGGTGCCGGCAGCGGAAGAACGGATCGCAAGGGATGCGGCGGGCGCGGAGGCGAGAACCTTGGAAGCCATGGTTGCTGATGAAAAGAGTGAAAACTGGTCAGGGCAGGAGATAAATTTGCGAACAGTTCAGGCTCTGTACTCGTTACAAAATTGCCTGATATCTCCAAAACACCAGACAGCTACACAGAATCAATTTATTCGGTAGAAATTGTGCATGAAGTGGAGAGCTCCCGTCATCACCTCTGGAGGGAGAGCCAATGAAGGCATGGGATGACGTGGCAGTACCATATCGTGGTGGCAACAGGCTTCCTCTGGTCATCCCAGCCTAACGTAAAATTGCATTGCACAGTGCGAATTTCGGGCAGGTTTTGGCCAATGCGAACTGACCATCATAGTTTCGTCCTTCGAACAAAGCGAGGATTTCTATAATCTGTAAAACTTCTGATGGGACGAACTATGTTCCAATTTCACAGAAACCTTTCAAATCTTTTTGCGACTGCCGCGACCTCTTGCGCTGACGCCAGGCTGGCGCTCGATTTGTTCGATTTGACATCACTCCACGACCCGCTGAGCTGACCCCGAGACGCGACTCGGCTTGGTGTTCCAGCCAACAACCAGGCGAACCTCCCCCCTACATCCCCCCCAACATTCGCCTCGCCACCTGGCGCCCAATACTGTACTGAGGAATCATCCGCCTCTCCCTGCAATTCAGTTCCGCCCACTGTGCACCTGTTCGCTCTGCCCCTCCCCCGCCTTCCTCCCCCCGCGCTCTCCTCCCCGCCTCTATTCGCTCGTGGCCAGCTCGCTAGATCGACCACCAGCTTGCCGCAACAGGCTCACCAGAAAGCAAGCACCCCCCGCACCAACCCACCCACTTCAAGCCACACATGATGTGATGTGACATGACATGGGCAGTCTAAAGACCTCTACATTGTGCGTTCAAGAATCGAGAAACTGTCTTCGCACAAGCTTGCTCGACTCTGGCTAATTTACAGTAAGAGGGCGTAAGTGCTCGCCTGAGTGCAGCGAAAGTATGCCCGCAGGGGCCGTCGCTGTGCTTGGGGGGAACGACTGCATCGCAGATTATCCAGCTCATTGCGCTAGCCCCCCGCACCCGGCGCGTACCGCTCGCCGTAAATCCCCTTCCCGCCCGCCGAGTTGCGCAGACATTGCCGGTGGCGCGGGTTCTAGTGGGACGAGAGAGGGCGGGCCAAATATGGAAGCACGAAACGGTTGGGAATTCGCAGGAGTAGGCAAGCGAGGTAGCCCGGGGTCACGAGGTATACGGAGCGGTGAAGAGGTGAACATAAGAGGGCGGGGCGCAGTGGACATGGATGTCTTGTGGGCGGATCCAGCGGTGGTCGGGGGCGATGCGCGCGCTGGTAGCGGCAGGGAAGGCGGAGAGTACGACGAAGACGACGAGGAGCAGGAGGTGCCGGCGCTGGAGCGACTGGAAGCCGTGTCGCGCCACTCCACCCCGACGCGCTTCTCGCTAACCGCCTCGCCCGAGGTGACTGGCGCGGGCAGGGAAAGGTCCGCTGAGGGCATTCCACGACCGCGCACTGGAGGGCACGGCGCGCGCGGTATGCACGACGGCGCGCAGGCGCAGAGGGGCGATGGGGCGGTCAAGGTCCATCCGCGCACCCGCGCACTGCGCGCGTCGCACCACCGCCGCTGGGCGTCGTTCGACGGTTCAAATGCGCTGAACTGGGACGGGGAAGACATTTCGCGCGCGCATTCCGCGGAAAATTCGGCGCGGTTGCCATGGGGCGGCGCGGCGGAGCAACAGCTGCCGAGCTCGCTGCTCCCCGACAGCCTGCTCCGCGAGTCCTCCGCCTCCGCGGTCGGCGCAGGTTGCCCAAAGCCCTCCGTGCGCCGCACGCGCACGCGACAGCAACGACAACCGCGGCCGAACGCGAGCAGCCAGCTGCAGATGCGATCTCGAACCGACCGACTGGACGGCTCGGGTAACCAATCGGATGGTGAAGTTGACGGCGGCGGCGCGTTGGCGGGCGAGGGGTCGTCGGACGACGACGAGCTGTTCCGCCCCACGCCGCGGCGCGTGCTGGGCGGCGTGGGAGCGCGGTCCGGCAAGTGGGCTAGCGCGAGCAGCGGGGAACGCGGATCCGTGCTGGCGGCATGGCAGCAGCGCGAGCTGGCGCAGGTGGAGGAGAAACTCCGCCACGCGGGCGATGGCGGAGAGATGGCGGGGGGCGCGCTGGCGGGTGAGAGTCAGGGGCGGGGGATGGATGGATTGGGCGACGAGAGGCGTAGGGTCGGCGGAGAGGCCTTGTGGGGGAGGGGGGAAGGGGGAAGAGAGGCCGAGGCGGAGACGGTGGGCGCAGCGGAAGGGGACGGTGGTAGTGAGTCAACGGTCAGGGGCGCGCAGGATGGTGCGCTGGCAAGTGAGATTATGACACGTGGACTCTCGGATGATGCTGACGTGGATGCGAGGGAGGATGGGTCGTGCAGAAAGGGCGAGGCGGGAAGGCGAAGAGGGGAGCAAGGGAAAGAAGGGGGTGATGGGGAAGGAGGGGAAGGGAGGGAAGAGGGGGATGATGTCGGACGCCGGGAGGCAGGCGGAGAGGGGCTGATGGAGGGCGCAGCTGGTCAGCAGGACGCGGAGGCGGAGACCCAAGTGGGGGAAGACGCGGAGGGGGAGGTGGGGGCGGGGGACAGGGGGGAAGCCGATGGAGACGATTTTGAAGGGGGAGGCAAAGTGGACGGGGCGGAAGGGGAGGGGGAAAGCGAGGCGCGCGCTGCAGAGGAGCACAAGGCGGAGGAGGGGGAGGTGCACGAGCAGGGTGGGCAGGGGGAGGGCGGGCATGGGGAGGGCGGGTGGCCCAAGTTCCTGCGGCGCAATGCAACCGCGCACGCGGGGGGAAGCAAGGGGGAGAGCGGGGGGGGCGGGGGGAGCCGGCTGGGGCAGCTGCTGCGCAACGGGACATTCAAGCGCCCGCAGGGGGAGGGCGAGGAGCGCCACGGCAGCCGCCTGGGACGCGTGGCCACTGCCGTGCGCGCAGGGCTCAAGTCCAGTGAGGCGCGGGGGAAAGGAATGGGGTTGGGGGGGGGAGGGCAGGTGCGCGGGGGTATGTGGGGTATGGAGCATGGGGAGGGGACGTAAGTGAAGGGAGATGGGTGATTGACCGAGTTACACCTCCCGCTCGTCCACCTCCTATCCTCATCCCCTCTCCCACCCTCATCCCGCCGCCCTGTGTGTGCTGCCCTGTGGGTGTGCCCTGTGGGTGTGCCGTGTGGTGTGTGCCATGTGGTGCATGCAGGCTCGTCTTTCAATGCGCGCAAGCACGCTCAGCAGCACCCACAGGAGCAGCGGCAGCAGCAGCAGGAGCAGCAACAGTGAGACCATGCCCCCTCGCCTTGCCCCCTCGCCTTGCCCCCTCGCCTTGCCCCCTCGCCTTGCTCCCTCGCCTTGTTCCCATCTCCACTCTTCCATGCCCAAACCGCTTGTCGGGCCACTCGTTTCTGCTGCTCGCCCTCGTCCTTCAACACCAGCTTCCTCCTCCCCCCCCCCCCTCCCCCCTTTTCTCGCTGTTTATCCACCCATATAAGCAATCCCCTCTCCCCGCTCCCCTCCTTCCTTCCCTCCGCATTTCCCCCCATGCGCGCGTGCAGGGAGGGGAAGGGCTTTCAGGGGCTGGCAGCACCTAAACGGGTGCAGTTCCAAATCACTGAGCTGGAGGTGAGGGGGGGGTGGGGGAGAGGGTGTGGGGTTTGAGGGGAGGAAAGGAGGTTGGGGAGGCTCGTGGAGGGAAGGGTGTGCGGGGCATGAAGCATGGTAGTGGCTCAGCACCGATGTTGCCATGCATGCTGCCATCAGCACTGCCATGCATGGTGCCATCAGCACTGCCATGCATGCTGCCATCAGCACTGCCATGCATGGTGCCATCAGCACTGCCATGCATGCTGCCATCAGCACTGCCATGCATGCTGCCATCAGCACTGCCATGCATGGTGCCATCAGCACTGCCATGCATGCTGCCATCAGCACTGGCATGCATGCTGCCATCAGCACTGCCATGCATGCTGCCATCAGCACTGCCATGCATGCTGCCATCAGCACTGCCATGCATGCTGCAGTCGCCACTGCTGCACGTGCTGTGGTTGCTTGCGCTCCACATGCCCATCACCGCAACCGCCCTTGTCCCCCCACACAACACATGCCATTGCCCAAGGAAACCCACGTCCCCTCACCTCCCATTCTCAACCCAGCACCTCCCATACGCCCTCCCGCCCCTCCCCCGCCTCTCCACCCTCTCCCATATGCCCTCCCATGCGCCTTCCCCTCGCCGCCTCTCCCCCCCCCCCGGCCGCCTCTCCACCCTCTCTTTCCTGCGCGCCAGTTCGCCACGGACGGCTTTGCCCGGGAGAACGTGCTGGGAGAGGGGGGCTTCGGCACCGTCTACCGCGGGCTCCTACCAGTAGCCCCGCGGGAGGAGGTGGCGGTGAAGGTGCTGAAGCAGCTGGGCGTGCAGGCGGACGAGGAGTTCCACATCGAGCTGGAGCTGCTGTCGCGCCTGGACCACAAGAACCTTGTGCGCCTGCACGGCTTCTGCTCCACTGCCTCCCAGCGCATGCTCGTGTATGAGTACCTGCCCAATGGCAGCCTCACCGACCACCTCCATGGTAGGTCCTATGCGCGTCGCCCCCATGCGCCTTTGTGCATTCCCCTTGTGCGCCACCGCCTCCCACCGCATGCTCGTGTTTGAGTTCCTTCCCAACGGCTCCCTCACCGACCACCCACACAGTACAAAATTTGCTCCTCGCCCCCGAGCGCCCTTGTGCATTCCCCTTGTGCCTTCTCTTCCGCACCCCACACTCCCCTCCCCTGGCCTGCTTTCCGCCATTTTACCCGTGTTGTTGGACCGGCTGCTGTGGAGAATCCAGCAAATCCGTTTCTCACTTGCCCCCCACGTGCAGGCCCCCCAGGGGCGCCAGAGCTGTCGTGGGAGCGGCGGGTGCGCATAGCAGCGGGGGCGGCGAGGGGGCTGGCACACCTGCACCGACAGCGACCACAGATACTTCACCGCGATGTGAAGGCACCCAACATCCTGCTCACCTCCAACTTCACTGCTAAGGTATTTGTGGCGCAGCCCATCACAGCCCATCACAGCCCATCACAGCCCATCACAGCCCATCGCAGCCCATCGCAGCCCATCGCAGCCCATCACAGCCCATCGCAGCCCATCACAGCCCATCGCAGCCCATCACAACGCATCACAGCCCATCACAGCCCATCACAGCCCATCACAGCCCATCACAGCCCATCACAGCCCATCACAGCCCATCACAGCCCATCACAGCCCATCACAGCCCATCACAGCCCATCACAGCCCATCGCAGCCCATCGCAGCCCATCGCAGCCCATCACAGCCCATCGCAGCCCATCGCAGCCCATCACAGCCCATCGCAGCCCATCACAGCCCATCGCATCGCAGCCCATCACAGCCCATCACAGCCCATCACAGCCCATCACAGCCCATCACAGCCCATCACAGCCCATCGCAGCCCATCGCATCGCAGCCCATCACAGCCCATCACAGCCCATCACAGCCCATCACAGCCCATCACAGCCCATCACAGCCCATCACAGCCCATCACAGCCCATCACAGCCCATCACAGCCCATCACAGCCCATCACAGCCCATCACAGCCCATCACAGCCCATCACAGCCCATCACAGCCCATCGCAGCCCATCACAGCCCATCGCAGCCCATCACAACGCATCACAGCCCATCACAGCCCATCACAGCCCATCACAGCCCATCACAGCCCATCACAGCCCATCACAGCCCATCACAGCCCATCACAGCCCATCACAGCCCATCACAGCCCATCACAGCCCATCGCAGCCCATCGCAGCCCATCGCAGCCCATCACAGCCCATCGCAGCCCATCGCAGCCCATCACAGCCCATCGCAGCCCATCACAGCCCATCGCATCGCAGCCCATCACAGCCCATCACAGCCCATCACAGCCCATCACAGCCCATCACAGCCCATCACAGCCCATCACAGCCCATCACAGCCCATCACAGCCCATCACAGCCCATCACAGCCCATCGCAGCCCATCGCAGCCCATCACAGCCCATCGCAGCCCATCACAGCCCATCGCAGCCCATCACAACGCATCACAGCCCATCACAGCCCATCGCAGCCCATCGCAGCCCATCGCAGCCCATCACAGCCCATCGCAGCCCATCGCAGCCCATCACAGCCCATCGCAGCCCATCACAGCCCATCGCATCGCAGCCCATCACAGCCCATCACAGCCCATCACAGCCCATCACAGCCCATCACAGCCCATCACAGCCCATCGCAGCCCATCGCAGCCCATCGCAGCCCATCACAGCCCATCGCAGCCCATCACAGCCCATCGCAGCCCATCACAACGCATCACAGCCCATCACAGCCCATCGCAGCCCATCGCAGCCCATCGCAGCCCATCACAGCCCATCGCAGCCCATCGCAGCCCATCACAGCCCATCGCAGCCCATCACAGCCCATCGCATCGCAGCCCATCACAGCCCATCACAGCCCATCACAGCCCATCACAGCCCATCACAGCCCATCACAGCCCATCACAGCCCATCACAGCCCATCACAGCCCATCACAGCCCATCACAGCCCATCACAGCCCATCACAGCCCATCACAGCCCATCACAGCCCATCACAGCCCATCGCAGCCCATCACAGCCCATCGCAGCCCATCACAACGCATCACAGCCCATCACAGCCCATCACAGCCCATCACAGCCCATCACAGCCCATCACAGCCCATCACAGCCCATCACAGCCCATCACAGCCCATCACAGCCCATCACAGCCCATCACAGCCCATCACAGCCCATCACAGCCCATCACAGCCCATCACAGCCCATCACAGCCCATCACAGCCCATCACAGCCCATCACAGCCCATCACAGCCCATCACAGCCCATCACAGCCCATCACAGCCCATCACAGCCCATCACAGCCCATCACAGCCCATCGCAGCCCATCGCAGCCCATCGCAGCCCATCACAGCCCATCGCAGCCCATCGCAGCCCATCACAGCCCATCGCAGCCCATCACAGCCCATCGCATCGCAGCCCATCACAGCCCATCACAGCCCATCACAGCCCATCACAGCCCATCACAGCCCATCACAGCCCATCGCAGCCCATCGCATCGCAGCCCATCACAGCCCATCACAGCCCATCACAGCCCATCACAGCCCATCACAGCCCATCACAGCCCATCACAGCCCATCACAGCCCATCACAGCCCATCACAGCCCATCACAGCCCATCACAGCCCATCACAGCCCATCACAGCCCATCACAGCCCATCACAGCCCATCGCAGCCCATCACAGCCCATCGCAGCCCATCACAACGCATCACAGCCCATCACAGCCCATCACAGCCCATCACAGCCCATCACAGCCCATCACAGCCCATCACAGCCCATCACAGCCCATCACAGCCCATCACAGCCCATCACAGCCCATCACAGCCCATCGCAGCCCATCGCAGCCCATCGCAGCCCATCACAGCCCATCGCAGCCCATCGCAGCCCATCACAGCCCATCGCAGCCCATCACAGCCCATCGCATCGCAGCCCATCACAGCCCATCACAGCCCATCACAGCCCATCACAGCCCATCACAGCCCATCACAGCCCATCACAGCCCATCACAGCCCATCACAGCCCATCACAGCCCATCACAGCCCATCGCAGCCCATCGCAGCCCATCGCAGCCCATCACAGCCCATCGCAGCCCATCACAGCCCATCGCAGCCCATCACAACGCATCACAGCCCATCACAGCCCATCGCAGCCCATCGCAGCCCATCGCAGCCCATCACAGCCCATCGCAGCCCATCGCAGCCCATCACAGCCCATCGCAGCCCATCACAGCCCATCGCATCGCAGCCCATCACAGCCCATCACAGCCCATCACAGCCCATCACAGCCCATCACAGCCCATCACAGCCCATCGCAGCCCATCGCAGCCCATCGCAGCCCATCACAGCCCATCGCAGCCCATCACAGCCCATCGCAGCCCATCACAACGCATCACAGCCCATCACAGCCCATCGCAGCCCATCGCAGCCCATCGCAGCCCATCACAGCCCATCGCAGCCCATCGCAGCCCATCACAGCCCATCGCAGCCCATCACAGCCCATCGCATCGCAGCCCATCACAGCCCATCACAGCCCATCACAGCCCATCACAGCCCATCACAGCCCATCACAGCCCATCACAGCCCATCACAGCCCATCACAGCCCATCACAGCCCATCACAGCCCATCACAGCCCATCACAGCCCATCACAGCCCATCACAGCCCATCACAGCCCATCGCAGCCCATCACAGCCCATCGCAGCCCATCACAACGCATCACAGCCCATCACAGCCCATCACAGCCCATCACAGCCCATCACAGCCCATCACAGCCCATCACAGCCCATCACAGCCCATCACAGCCCATCACAGCCCATCACAGCCCATCACAGCCCATCACAGCCCATCACAGCCCATCACAGCCCATCACAGCCCATCACAGCCCATCACAGCCCATCACAGCCCATCACAGCCCATCACAGCCCATCACAGCCCATCGCAGCCCATCGCAGCCCATCGCAGCCCATCACAGCCCATCGCAGCCCATCACAGCCCATCGCAGCCCATCACAACGCATCACAGCCCATCACAGCCCATCGCAGCCCATCACAGCCCATCGCAGCCCATCACAGCCCATCGCAGCCCATCGCAGCCCATCACAGCCCATCGCAGCCCATCACAGCCCATCGCATCGCAGCCCATCACAGCCCATCACAGCCCATCACAGCCCATCACAGCCCATCACAGCCCATCACAGCCCATCACAGCCCATCACAGCCCATCACAGCCCATCACAGCCCATCACAGCCCATCACAGCCCATCACAGCCCATCACAGCCCATCACAGCCCATCACAGCCCATCGCAGCCCATCACAGCCCATCGCAGCCCATCACAACGCATCACAGCCCATCACAGCCCATCACAGCCCATCACAGCCCATCACAGCCCATCACAGCCCATCACAGCCCATCACAGCCCATCACAGCCCATCACAGCCCATCACAGCCCATCACAGCCCATCGCAGCCCATCGCAGCCCATCGCAGCCCATCACAGCCCATCGCAGCCCATCGCAGCCCATCACAGCCCATCGCAGCCCATCACAGCCCATCGCATCGCAGCCCATCACAGCCCATCACAGCCCATCACAGCCCATCACAGCCCATCACAGCCCATCACAGCCCATCACAGCCCATCACAGCCCATCACAGCCCATCACAGCCCATCACAGCCCATCGCAGCCCATCGCAGCCCATCGCAGCCCATCACAGCCCATCGCAGCCCATCACAGCCCATCGCAGCCCATCACAACGCATCACAGCCCATCACAGCCCATCGCAGCCCATCGCAGCCCATCGCAGCCCATCACAGCCCATCGCAGCCCATCGCAGCCCATCACAGCCCATCGCAGCCCATCACAGCCCATCGCATCGCAGCCCATCACAGCCCATCACAGCCCATCACAGCCCATCACAGCCCATCACAGCCCATCACAGCCCATCACAGCCCATCACAGCCCATCACAGCCCATCACAGCCCATCACAGCCCATCACAGCCCATCACAGCCCATCACAGCCCATCACAGCCCATCACAGCCCATCGCAGCCCATCACAGCCCATCGCAGCCCATCACAACGCATCACAGCCCATCACAGCCCATCACAGCCCATCACAGCCCATCACAGCCCATCACAGCCCATCACAGCCCATCACAGCCCATCACAGCCCATCACAGCCCATCACAGCCCATCACAGCCCATCGCAGCCCATCGCAGCCCATCGCAGCCCATCACAGCCCATCGCAGCCCATCGCAGCCCATCACAGCCCATCGCAGCCCATCACAGCCCATCGCATCGCAGCCCATCACAGCCCATCACAGCCCATCACAGCCCATCACAGCCCATCACAGCCCATCACAGCCCATCACAGCCCATCACAGCCCATCACAGCCCATCACAGCCCATCACAGCCCATCGCAGCCCATCACAGCCCATCGCAGCCCATCACAACGCATCACAGCCCATCACAGCCCATCGCAGCCCATCGCAGCCCATCGCAGCCCATCACAGCCCATCGCAGCCCATCGCAGCCCATCACAGCCCATCGCAGCCCATCACAGCCCATCGCATCGCAGCCCATCACAGCCCATCACAGCCCATCGCAGCCCATCGCAGCCCATCACAGCCCATCGCAGCCCATCGCAGCCCATCGCAGCCCATCACAGCCCATCGCAGCCCATCGCAGCCCATCACAGCCCATCGCAGCCCATCACAGCCCATCGCATCGCAGCCCATCACAGCCCATCACAGCCCATCACAGCCCATCACAGCCCATCACAGCCCATCACAGCCCATCACAGCCCATCACAGCCCATCACAGCCCATCACAGCCCATCACAGCCCATCGCAGCCCATCACAGCCCATCGCAGCCCATCACAACGCATCACAGCCCATCACAGCCCATCGCAGCCCATCGCAGCCCATCGCAGCCCATCACAGCCCATCGCAGCCCATCGCAGCCCATCGCAGCCCATCACAGCCCATCGCAGCCCATCGCAGCCCATCGCAGCCCATCACAGCCCATCACAACGCATCACAGCCCATCACAGCCCATCGCAGCCCATCGCAGCCCATCGCAGCCCATCACAGCCCATCGCAGCCCATCGCAGCCCATCACAGCCCATCGCAGCCCATCACAGCCCATCGCATCGCAGCCCATCACAGCCCATCACAGCCCATCACAGCCCATCACAGCCCATCACAGCCCATCACAGCCCATCACAGCCCATCACAGCCCATCACAGCCCATCACAGCCCATCACAGCCCATCGCAGCCCATCACAGCCCATCGCAGCCCATCACAACGCATCACAGCCCATCACAGCCCATCACAGCCCATCACAGCCCATCACAGCCCATCACAGCCCATCACAGCCCATCACAGCCCATCACAGCCCATCACAGCCCATCACAGCCCATCACAGCCCATCACAGCCCATCACAGCCCATCACAGCCCATCACAGCCCATCACAGCCCATCACAGCCCATCACAGCCCATCACAGCCCATCACAGCCCATCACAGCCCATCGCAGCCCATCGCAGCCCATCGCAGCCCATCACAGCCCATCGCAGCCCATCACTGCCCATCGCAGCCCATCACAGCCCATCGCAGCCCATCACAGCCCATCGCAGCCCATCACAGCCCATCGCAGCCCATCACAGCCCATCGCAGCCCATCACAGCCCATCGCAGCCCATCACAGCCCATCGCAGCCCATCACAACGCATCGCATCACTCACACCCGTGAGCCTTGTCGTCAACCTCCTGAGAACATCCCTGTGCCTCACCACGCCTGAGTGCCTTTGCTTTCCCTCACCCCCTTGACAACATCCTCTCACACTTGCTCTGGGCTGAAAACTTCTTCCTCCTCCCCCTCCCCCCCAGGTGGCGGACTTTGGGTGTGCGAAGCTGATACGGCGCACGGAGGTGGTGGAGGATGCGGTGACGGGCAGGCAGGTGGAGCGGCTGTGTGACAGTGTGGACTACGCCATGGGCACGCCGGGGCACATGGCCCCTGAGATGCTCATGACCGGGGAAATCAGCGCCGCCACCGACGTGTACAGGTGCGCCCAGTAGGTGGGCACGGCTGTGCTGCCAGGCTCAGCTTGTGCTGCGGTGGAAGGGTGATGGCTGGCAACATGCGTGCATCCACTCTCCCCTGCTGTGCTGCCCTGTGCCTATTCGCCTCCCCACGTTGACCCTCTCTGCTGCTTGTTATTTCCCACGCTCCCTCGTATCGCCATACCCCACGGTCCCTCGTATCACCATACCCCACGGTCCCTCGTATCACCATACCCCACGCTCCCTCGTATCGCCATACCCAGAACCCACCTTCACTGCATCCACCCCTTCCGTTTGCGCCCTCCCATCCAATCCCATCCCTCCAATCCGTTCCACCCCACTGCCCCTGTCCCGTCGCCCGCCCAGTTTCGGCGTGGTGCTGCTGCAGCTGGTGACGGGGCGGCTGCCGATCGACGCCAACCGGCAGCAGCTGACGCTGTGGGCGCCGCCACTGCTGGAGGAGGAGCGCTGGGAGGAGCTCGTCGACCCGCGCCTGCAGCGCGCCCTGCTGGGCCGGGCTGCCGGGGGAGGCGCAGGGGGCGGGCGAGGAGGGGACGATGCGGCAGGGGCGGGGGCAGCGGGGGAGTTGAGGCGGGTGGTGGCGGGGCGGTCGGTGGGGCGGTGCCTGCAGCTGGCGGGCACGTGCCTTGACATGGACCCGCTGCAGCGCCCCTCCATGGAGGACGTCGCGCTCTCCCTGCTCGCCATCTACAGCTCAGGTGCCTCCCTGCTCGCCATCTACAGCTCAGGTGCCTGTATCTCCCTCCCTCCCTGCCTGCCGCCCTTTAGCCTCCACGGCTTTTGAATCAATGCCTCTCCCCCCCTGCCCACCTCTCCCCCCCCGCCCACCTCTCCCTCACACGCTTCCTCTTCCCCTCCTCTCCCCCGGCCTTCCCCCTCGCCAGCCTGCGCGGAGCGAGACGAGGCACTGCAGCTGGCAAACGACGGCTTCAGAAGCGGCCGAATGCTGCCGCCCGCTGGCCCGTCAGACCCCACGCGGGCGGGGTCGGGGGGAAGCGGCATGCAGGGGGCGGGTGGGGGGGGGAGCGGGGCAGTGGCGGGGGGAAGTGCGCGGCTGGCGGCCAGTGGGGGACTGTCAGAGTCGCCTGAGAGGCCAGCTGGGACCGCCAAGGCCAGATTCCAAAGGTGCTGCTCTGCAATCCCACACCATGCCCTGTGCTGCTCTGCATTCCCCGTGCCCTCGTGTATTTCCCCTTGGTCTTGTGCATGCCCCATGTGCTGTTCCTGCCATGGCGCCTCACCCTTGTCACTCTATCCCTCTCCCTCCCTCACTCTCGCTACTCCAGGAACCGGTCAGCCCGGCACACGAGCTTTGGATGACAGTGCTCGTCCAATCCACATTGATAGCAGGTCTGCATGATGCTGCTGGGCCGAAACAATGCATGCAGGGAGGCATGCAGGGAGGCATGCAGGGAGGCATGCAGGGAGGCGTGCAGGGAGGCATGCAGGGAGGCGCACAACTGTATTTATTGGCCGGGCACGGTGGGGGTGCAGCGCGTGAGCAGCCAGAGCAGGAGGGCTCGAGCCAGCCATACACCACCACAGCATGCCGTGTGTGCCTTTCCACGTACCCATGTGCTTGCACTGTGTGCTCATGCGCTAGCAGTGGTAGAGTGCAGCGTGTGCGGTGCTGAATAATAGTCCACCTGTTGTGTGTGGCCACGTAGGCAGGAGCAGCGAGGCGCATTGCCTTGTAGCCCTCCTCAATACACCCTTGAGCTGCCTCCCTGCTTCTTCATCCCATGCCTGCTTAGCGTGCACCCACCCACCTACTCACGTCAGCCTTATCTCAGCCCAGAGTTTCTAAACACTGGCAGTAGTGGGAAGCAGAGCAGCGGCATGTGTTAGTCTAGAGGGTGTGCAGCAGGGTGTGGATAGGTGGTATGGTACACATTCGGTAGTAGCAGTTCGCCCACATGCGGTATATCACATGCTCATACCAGCACTGGACTGGAGGCATGTAAAACGACTGTGGTGGAGTGGATAGGTGCATCTGTATTACAGTCATTCTTTCTTACTTTGCCATTACAGTCATTATCCTGCAGGCATATTTGCTATCTAGTCATTACAGCAAAGCAGGGGCGCTATAGGGTGTAGTATAGTACTGTCACAGCTTTTGATACTGCTGTCCCCTGCTGCCACGGCAGCGCATTAGCCTTGCGCCGTCTTTTCTGCTACCGCCTCACCTATGGTATATGTTTAGGGGCTTGTTGCACTTCTCAAAGCACCTACGTGCTACTACGTGTTGTGGTAAGCCCGCCCAGCCCGTCACGCAATGCCGTGTTCGCGGCGCCACGTTTCATAGAAAAGGTCAACCCAGGTGTCGGGCAGGCCAGGCATGCAGGGGTGCAGGCAGTCCTGCGAGCGCTTGCGCTGCGCGGCGATCATGGCGTCTGAGCGGAAGAGCGAGGGGTGTGTGATGTCCACCAGGCGGATGGTGCGGCTGCCCTGGAACACGCTCGCCTGCGACGGGTACCACACGCGGCTCTGCGAGTTGTTGCGCTCAAAGAACGAGTACTGCACACAGGGGACAGGGGAAGTGGGGCGGGGAGTGGGGAGGGGAGCGGGTGAATGGCGATTGGCGAGTGGGAAGGGGCGTGAGAGGGGCTGCCGTGCGCTCTGTGTACCCCACCCCATGGGCGCCAGAAGAGCTCTCTGCCCTCCCTACACAGCCTCAAAACACACCCACGCTCAGCATAAGCTGCTGGCATGGCATGGGTTGGGCGGGCGCAGAGGAGTGCGGGGTGGTAGAAAGCAGGCATGATGCGTCCATTGACCGTCCCCAACGGCCTCCGTGTCCCATCTGCTCTGCACTTCCCTCTCTCCCGCTCCCTCGCCCAACTGCACCTCCCAAACCTCTTCCGCCTCTTTCCCCATTCCCCCCTTCCCCCTTCCCCCCTCCCGCAACGCACCCCCTTCCCCCCTCCCCCAACGCACCATCTGCGGAGAGCTGGGGTTCTTAGCGCCCTGGCAGCCGGCGAGGCGCGGCGGCGCGGAGAGGAAGTACATGGGCGGCAGCCGCCACCGCTTCACGCTTTTCGCGTCGAACGTGCGCGCCAGCCGCCGCAGCGCCATCCTGCGGAGGAGGTGGAGGGACGCGGGCGGGTGGGAATGGGGAGCGGCGGGCGATGCGCATGAGGCGATGCGCAGGCCCACGGGGAAGAGGGGGATAGCAACGGAGTATGGGTCATGGGGCATTGCGAATGGCGCATGGGGCACGGTTCAGGGGGCAGGGGGGAAGCGGACGTACTTGTAGGCCTGAACGGTGTTGGGCTCGGGCTTGATGAGCTGCCACTTGCGATTGACGAAGAAGCGCCGCAGCCACGTCTTGGCGTGCGGCCAGTGCGTCGACGACTGGAACAGCACCAGCCCGAACCGCCCGACCTTGTCGAACCACGTGGGGTCGAACGTGTGCAGGTTGACGGCCGTGTCGCCCAGGCCGGGGTTGGTGACTTTGATGCGGCGCAGCACGTCGTTTTGCGTGGAGTAGGCCATGAGGAAAGGGCTCCAGTAGTTGACGATCGTCACGTTGTACGTCGCCACGCGCCACACGAACTTGCTCAGCGCGTCGTCCGACACCTTGCTCACCGCCGACACTCGGTGGATCTGCGCGCGGAATGGGGGAGGGGGGGAAGGGGGAAATTGGGAAGGGCGGTGCTGGTGAGTCGCTGGTGGCTCCGGCGCTAACGCGCTAGGGGAGCCTTCGAAAAGGAGGAAAGGAGCGAGACTAAGGGAACGGAAAGGAGTAGTGTGAGTGTACCTGGCAGAGCATGGAGGGCGTACCTGGCAGAGCATGGAGGGCGTACCTGGCAGAGCATGGAGGGCGTACCTGGCAGAGCATGGAGGGCGTACCTGGCAGAGCATGGAGGGAAGGAAGCCTTCGTACATGAGCGAGTCGCCCACCATCGCGATCACCCTGCGCGCCGCACCACGACGCGGAGACAGTGAGGGGAAGCAAGGGAAGGGGAGAAAGGGTGAGGCTGCGCGGGCAGAAGGGTGAGGCTGCGCGGGCAGGCGAGGAAGGGTGAGGCTGCGCGGGCAGAAGGGTGAGGCTGCGCGGGCAGAAGGGTGAGGCTGCGCGGGCAGGCGAGAAAGGGCTGCTTCTCGCGAGAATCGCAATGCGGCAGTGCGGCATGTGGCACCGTGGCAGTGCGTGGATACAAACGGTCTGCTCCGATGGGGGTGCAGCAACTCACTTGTTGCGCATGCGCATCAAGAACTTGGCCGGCGAGAATCGTATTGTGCGCCCTCCACAGTTGCGCGGCTTCCATGAGTAGTACTGCACATCCCCGTTACAAGCACATGGGCAGCCATGACCGAATACGCGTGAGCATAGACGGAAAGTGCCGGGTTTCGTAGAATGTGAAGTGGCAGTAAGTGAAAGGCGAGGGGAGAGGGATGACGAGTGCAGGGCAGTGCGGTGTTACCATCCAGCTGGGGTCGAGTTTCCTCTTCGGGTCGAGGCAGTTGGTCGTGGGAGCCACGTCCTGCACAGCCCAGCATCGCAACAAGTCAGAATGGTGATTGAGAGCATACAGAAGGTATCCTAGTCAAGAACGGCTGATGTGACCCTACCCCGTGCGAATCACGAAGCGCTGCCAATGCGGGGAGCAGCCAACAGCAGGCACGCCGTGCATCACACGCTGCATTTGCAAAATGTAGACTCACGCATTGAGCGGCGGACAATGCGGCGCACCTTGAGGAAGGGGCACGAGGACATGTCGTAGGCGGGGCGGTTGGCGCGGTCGAGCACCCACGAGCCGTCGTAGATGTTGCACGTCGACCCCGCCGCTTGGGTCGTCGCCACCTTGGGCTTAGCGCCGCTCGTCGTCTTCAGCGGATTTTCCGCCGCTGGCGACGGCGGCGGCGGTGCCGCAGAGCTGCTTTCGGGCGACACGTCGCTACTCTGATCGCCGCCACCGCTGCTGACACTGCTACTACCGCTGCTGGTTGCACCGCTGCTGGTGGTGGTGGTGGTGGTTCTACTGGTGATGCTGGCGGCGGTGGTGGAGGGCGAGTCGACGGAGAGCAGCGCGGGCATGTCGGCCAGCATGAGCTCCTGCTGGAACGTGTCGTCGAGATCCTTGAGCGCGCCGATCACCGCCGTGTCGCCCGTGTGGCTGTGGCTCCGCGGAGCAGATATGAGTAGTAGCGCGCAGGCGAGTACTAAGCACCGCCATCTGAGGACGTGTGAGGATCTCATTGGCGCAACAATAGTTGCTCACGACAAGATATAGAGAATTTACCAAACCTGCGCCCTACGCCTTGGTACAAGAGTTAAGAAGGTCGATGTGGAGCTACGCGGCTCTTCAAAGCTAACGGATGAGTAGACTGCTGTATGATGTGGAGGACAGGAACAGATGCGAGGTGCATCGGCTAGCATGAATTGGGGGTTGTGACTCGGTTTTATCGACATCTGCATTGTTGGGCTGGTTGGTTGGCAGCACTTCAATTCCACATGCCATTGACGGGGAGCGGAAAAACGAATTCACGACTGTTTGGAAAAACGTACACCATCGTATCGCACCGCATGTGCGGCTCGGGGTTGGACATTGGAGTGTATGCGACCAGGCGTGGCTCGCACAGGCGAGACGTCAGGTTTGAAAGCTGGGGCCGCAACCCATCAAAAGGGCCAACGAGCCTTCGCCAATATATTGGCGGGCTCGCGCAAGTACATTTTCGTGTCGGTGCGATGGTGGATTGTCGTCGCAAATTGGTCTTTGCGAAAGCTTGCCCGAGCTGCGACGGCACAGACCTTCAAAAGGAGCGTTGTGCGAGCGATGCCTGGGGACTCCCGCTCGCGGACAAACGCCAGCAAAGAAGGGTGCTGTGACCATGCGTACGGAGTGTACAAAGATCTTGTGCAGAGCATACGATTTGTACGTAATGTTCAATTGTTTAAAACACTTAGAAATGTTCACTCGTCAGCACGAGAACTGGTTTTTGTGTGCACCCGAACAGCGCGTCCCGATGGATGTTGCGGATAGTCCTCCCACTCGCATACTGCTGACCTTCACCGGCCAGGCCTTCCCTAACCTGCAATCGCTCCTGCGCCCGCCTCCCGCCTCTGCGCCTTTGCACCGCTATTGTCCGCGCGTTCCGCTCGCCTCCTCTGCGGCGAACATAAAATGGCTTCTACCATCCGTCCACTCTGAATGGCCGCCCAACATAGGCGGCATGAGCGGCGTAGGCGGCGGGGGCTATGAGGGCGTGGCGGCACCTCAAGTGCCCCCACCATGCTACACGTCCTTGCCGCTTCCGCGCATCGTGGAACTCCGCGCACCCCTCCCTCACTTGCCTATGCCCGCTCATGCGCTCCCCCCATATATCCCTCACATTTACGCGGCTGGGAAAGACCCTGCCTCCTTGCGAGCAATCAGAAACTGCCGCGTGGCAAACGATGACAGGCGATCATGGGGCTATGAGCCTCGGGCAGCAGAAGGGGCCGCTGAGGCGGAAGGCGCCACGACGAGTGCGAATAATGGGGGCATGGCGGAAGGCAGGGGAGGGGAGAACACGGATTGGTGGGGAAAGAAGCGGCGGAGGGGGGAGAACGAGGGAAGCAGGTATGAGTGGGGAACGGTGCCAAGTGGTGGGCAGGAGGGGGCGGACAGGGAGGGAGCGGGAAGGGGAAACGGGAGAGGAAACAGGCACGGGGCTGGGAGCAGAGGACGCGGCGGAAAGAATCGCGCGGGGAAGGGTGCGAGGCGGTCCGGGGCGCAGAGGAGGGTGGGGCGGAAGGCGCCCCAGCCACTGGCGTTCCCAGTCACATGCCCGGTGTGTCCTGACGTGGTGCTGACGTCACTGGGTGTGCTACAGTCGCACTTGGCGGGTCGCAAGCACCAGGCCGCCGATGCTGGGCGCGCGCAGCGGGGGGGCACGAGGGGGGCCGAGGCGCGGGCTGGGCAGGAGCAGGGGGGCCACGCGCATGACAAGCAGGGGCATGGGGGGAAGGGGCATGAGGGGAAGGGGCATGAGGGGAAGGGGCATGTGGGGAAGGGGCATGAGGGGAAGGGGCATGAGGGGGAGGGGCATGGAGGGGAGCGGCATGGGGGGGAGTGGCATTGGGGGGAGGGGAATTGGTGGGAGGGGCATGGGGAGGGGCATGGTGGGGAGGGACATGGGGGGAAGGGGCATGGGGGGAAGGGGCATGGGGGGAAGGGGCATGGGGGGAAGGGGCATGGGGGGAAGGGGCATGGGGGGGAGGGGCTTGCAGAGAAGAGACATGCTGACAGGCATAGGGGTGAGGGGGGCAGTGACGCAGTGAATGGGGAAGATGGAGGGGCGGGTGTGGGTGGCATGGGGGGAGTGCAAGGGGAAAGGGGGTTGGCGCATGGGAAACATGGCGGGTATGGGGAACATGGCGGGTATGGGGAACATGGCGGGTATGGGGAACATGGCGGGTATGGGGAACATGGTGGGTATGGGGAACATGGCGGGTATGGGGAACATGGCGGGTATGCGGAACATGGCGGGTATGGGGAACATGGCGGGTATGGGGAACATGGCGGGTATGGGGAACATGGCGGGTATGGGGAACATGGCGGGTATGGGGAACATGGCGGGTATGGGGTGCATGAGACGCGATGGGCGTGGGGAAGGGAGTGGCAGCAGGAGGAGAAGCAGTATGTGGGGGAGTGGGGTGATGGGGTTGTGAAGGAAGAGGCGACTGTTGAGATTATCGACCTGGACGAGGAGGAGAGGGACGAGGACGAGGAGGAGGAGGAGGAGGAGGAGGAGGAGGAGGAAGTGGAGATATTGGAGTTGGATGGGAGGGAGGAGGGCGAGGTGAAAGAGGAGGGGAGTAGTGGTGTCCAAGGGCAGGGCAAGCAAGGGAGGGCCATGGGATGGGCGAGCGAGGGGCCACCGTTTGTGGGGGGGTGGTGTGCGGTGTGTGGGGCGACGTGTCTGAATGAGAGCAACTACAAGTTCCACCTCAAAGGCAAACGCCACCGCTCCGCCCTCGCTGCCTCTCATGCTGCCACTGCTGCTACTTGTGCTCCGGCTGCTCATGTACCGTGATGCTTGCTGCACCGCCTGCAGCGGCTGTGGCATGTTAGTGGGGTTGCAAAGGGGTTGCAAAGGGCTTCAACAATCGAGAGTCGGGGTTGCTGCTGCTGCCAGTGTTGTTGGTGTTGCTGTGTTGAGTTGGGTTGCCCCTTCTTTTCTTACAATGTTTGTTGTTGTACGGTACCGTAGTTGATGCTGTCAGCATCACAGCACTCCGCCTGTGACCATGCCCTTGCATTGGGCACCGCACCGCACCCAAATGAGCCCAGCTTGCCTAGCGCATGCCTAGCGCCCATCAACATACCCTACTTGCAGATGAACACTAGGGACTTGTCACCCGCTCAACGCATCTCCACCTTGGGGTGAAGGAAACTGAATGGAGCACTGGCATGCCATGAACTACTAAAATCTTAGTGTGGTGGGTCCATGTTTACAACTGATGATGGTCTGATCAACACCCCAACCCAAATCAACTACAGCAGGTTCTGCAGTATTAGGCCTAGCATTGCGCTCCAGGTTGACAGCCGTGATGAACCACCCTCTGTGCCACCTGCTGGGTACGGACCCGAGCGCCCCGCCCCACTAACACGTGCTGCACATGGTGAGGAGGCACGTGAAGGCATGTGTGGTGTGTGTCAAATGATATATATGTGTGATATATATTGGTAGGCTGTAGTGGGGTAGATGTTGTAGGAGATACGGTAACACTTTAGGGTTTTGTTATTTGTACCAAACTCTCCATAGTGAACTCAACCTTGCCTGATTCTCTCGACATGGTATCAGAGCAGGTTCCTAGACCTAAGCTTAAGGGCCCACCATGTGCTAAGTTACCTCCCCAACGGCCTACCTGCCTGCCTTGCATACGTATCTGCCTGCTGCCTGAGCCTGCTGCCTGAGCCTGCTACTTTTGACTGCGCTGCAACCATGGCGACCCTTACTGTTCTCGCCTTTGAGCCTGACGGCCGCCCCATCGAGTTTGACACCTGGCTTAGTGACCTGCGCCTTTACCTTATGACTGACGTCGCAGACGGAGTGTCACTGCTAGCCTATGTGACCGGCACTGTCCCTACTCCCGCTGAGACTGCTCCTGCCCCTGAACGAGCACAGTGGGAGCTCCGTGATGCAGTCGCGCGCCTTGTTATTCGCAATCACCTACCGATCTCTGAGCGCGCGCATTTCAACCAGCTTAAGACTGCTAAGACGCTGTATGATGCTGTCGTTGCCCGCTATTCCGCCCCGGCCACAGCCACCGTTGGTAGTCTCATCCTGCCTTACCTGTTCCCAGACTTAGCCTCGTTTCACACTGCTGCCGACCTTATCACTCACCTCCGCGCTAGTGACGCCCGCTTTCGAGCCGCTCTTACCAACGAGTTCCTCGCCACGAACACCCCCCCGCTGTACTTCACCCTCTACATCCTCGTCACCCGCCTCCCTGACACTCTTCGCTCTGTCAGGGATTACTTCCTTGCCAAGGATCCTCCAACTATCACTCTGGACGACTTCGAGCAGCAGCTGGTCGCAGCAGAGAAGAACATCCTCGCTGTCGGTGCTGCTCGTGGCACTCCCCGCACTCCCCTCTTTGAGGGGTGCTCCCCCTCCCCTCTTGACCCCTCCTACGCCTCTGCTGCTACTGCTGTCGACTTCCTCGGTGCGGAGAAGGTCGCAGCGGCTTCCGCTCCTGGTGGGAAGCGTGGTGGTGGCAGGGGCGGCAAGGGTGGCAGGGGTGGCGGAGGTGGCGGTGGAGGGAGCGGTGGTGGAGGCGGCGGGGGTGGTGGAGGTGGTGGGGGTGGCCGTGGGGGTGGAGGCGGTGGGTGGGGTGGCGGCAGGACCGGGGGCGGTGGAGGCGGCGGCGGCGGTGGTGGGGGAGGAGGCAGCGGCAGTGGCGGTGGAGGTGGGAGTGGGGGTGGATCTGGCCAGAAGGGTGGCCAGCAGCAGCAGCAGCAGCAACAGCCACAGCAGCAGCAGCAGCTTCCTCCCCTCACCTCCCAGCAGCTCAATGACTGGTATGCTGGGCGTGGGGCGTCTCGGGGTTCTGACCGCGATCTCACCGCGGACAAGCTCTCTGCTCGCGCCATTCCCTGCGTCTTCCTTGGTTTTCCTCCTGACGCGCCTGGCTGGCAGTTTTACGACCCCACCTCGCGCCGTGTCTTTGCGTCTCAGGACGTCACCTTTGACGAGTCTGTTCCCTTCTACCGTCTCTTTCCCTACCGCACTGCCTCTCGCCCCCCCCCGCCGCTCTTTCTCGCTCCAGGTCCTCCCCAGGTAGACCCTTTCCCCGCGCCAGGTCCTGCTCCTTCAGGTGTTTCTCAGGTAGACCCTCCCGTACCTGCGCCTGTTGAGGTCACTGGTGACTCAGGTCCTGCTGGAGGTGGTCCTGCTCGGGGTGCTGTCTCTGGGGGTGCTGAGCCTGGGGGTGCGGAGCCTGAGCGAGAGGCGCCTAGAGGTGCTGAGCCTAGGGGTGCGGAGTCTGGGGGTGCCGTGCCTGCGCGTGAGGAGCCTGGCGGTGCTGAGCTTGGGGGTGTCGAGTCTGAGGGTGCTGTGCCTGCGCGTGAGGAGCCTGGAGGTGCTGAGCTTGCGGGTGCCGAGTCTGCGGGTACTGAGCCTACGCGTGAGGAGCCTGGAGGTGCTGGCGCTGGAGGTTCTGGAGCAGTTGGGGGTGCTGGCGCTGAGGGTTCTGAGTCTGCTGTTGCGCGGTCTCCTTGGAGTAGCCGCCTTCGTCCACGTGTGCCTCTCACCCCACAGCAGCTGCAGGACTGGTACGGTCACCGTCAGCGTCGCGCTGCTGGAGCTAGGAGTGGTGCTGGACCTTTGTCTACTGGAGGTGCTGGAGTCGCTGGTTCTGGAGGTGCTCGTACTGGAGATACTGAGGCTGGAGACCCTGGGACTGGAGGTGCTGACTCTGGAGGTGCTGCTGCTGGCGACACTGAGGCTGGAGACCCTGGGACTGGGGGTGCTGGTTCTGGGGGTGCTACTGCTGGAGACACAGAGGCTGGAGACCCTGGGACTGGAGCTTCTGGAGCTGCTGGAGGTACTGGAGCTGCTGGAGGCACTGGAGCTGCTGGAGCTGCCGGTACTGATGCAGCTGCGCCGACACGACTGTTCTTCGCTCCGCCGTCTCCGTCGTCTCTGCCGCCGTCTGACTCTGTTCTTCGTCAGGTTCTTACTCTCCCGTCGTCTACTGGTCTTCCGTTACAGCCTGGCTCACCGCTGCCTGCTCCTTCTCCTTACACTGAGCAGACTGGTAGTCCTGCTGAGCGTCGTGAGCCTGTGTCGCGTCCTGTCTCGCCTGCTCGTCCTGGTCGTACCGGTCGTCGTGTTCCTCGTTCGCGTCAGCAGGCTGTCCCCAGCGCACACCTCGTAGTTCGTCGTCCTTCCTCTGCTCTGCAGCCTGTTCCTCTGCCGTCTCCTCCTGCGTCCTCTCTACCTGACGTTCCAGACCCTGAGTCTGACCGGTTTCGTGCTGAGCACCCTACTGTCACGCGTCTGCTAGCCACTGTTGTCACTGACCCGTCGTTTGAGTCTACTGCTGCGTCTGCTCTTGTCGCTGAGCTTGTTGACTTTGCTGCTGCCTGTCGTCTAGACTACGCCGCCAGTCTTGTTGCTGAGTCTGAGTCTGTCTGTCCTCCGTCCGTCGGGGGTGAGTGTGCTCTTAGCACGGACGTCCTTGAGGACAGGCAGGAGGAGTTCCAGTGTCTTGCTGCTGCTTTACCTCATCTTGTGTCCTCGCTACTTGCCCCTGAGGGAGACCCGGATGCACTAGACATCCCGACTCCGCGCTCTTACGCAGAGGCGATAGAGAGTCCCTACTCCTCTCAGTGGCAGGCAGCCATGGACGCAGAGATGGCTTCCTGGAAGTCCACAGGCACCTATGTCGACGAGGTTCCCCCACCTGGGGCGAACATCGTCAGTGGCATGTGGATTTTCAGGGTGAAGCGGCCGCCGGGTTCTCCACCTGTCTTCAAGGCGCGTTACGTGGCTCGAGGCTTCAGTCAACGAGAGGGAGTTGACTTCTTCCAGACCTTCTCCCCCACCCCGAAGATGACAACTCTTCGTGTGCTGCTGCACGTTGCTGCTCACCGTGACTACGAGCTTCACTCTCTTGACTTCAGCACTGCTTTCTTACAGGGCAGCCTGCACGAGGAGATCTGGCTGCGCCGCCCCCCGAGCTTCACTGGGTCGTTCCCTCCTGGCACCCAGTGGAGCCTCCGACGGCCGGTCTACGGTCTCCGCCAGGCGCCACGTGAGTGGCACGACACACTGAGGACTACGCTTGCGGCTCTTGGGTTTGCGCCTTCTACTGCTGACCCGTCGCTGTTTCTGCGCACCGACACTTCACTGCCGCCGTTCTACATCCTCGTGTACGTCGACGACTTGGTTTTTGCCACTGCTGACACTGAGGCTCTCGCCCACGTGAAGTCGGAGCTACAGAAGAGACACACGTGCACTGACTTGGGTGAGCTGCACAGCTACCTTGGCTTGCAGATCACCCGGGACAGAGCACGCCGCACCATCACCTTGACTCAGTCACACATGGTGCAGCAGGTCCTTCAGCGCTTCGGCTTCACCTGGTCTTCAGCACAGGCCACTCCTCTGGCTACAGGTCACACGCTCTCAGCTCCACCTTCGGACGAGTCCGTAGAGCCGAGTGGTCCTTACCCAGAGCTAGTCGGCTGCCTCATGTACCTGATGACTTGCACTCGACCTGACCTTGCATACCCTCTTGGTCTCCTCGCTCGCTACGTGGCTCCTGGTCGACACCGACCTGAGCACATGGCTGCTGCTAAGAGGGTACTGCGCTACTTGTGCAGCACATCAGGCATGGGGCTAGTGCTTGGAGGGACGAGCCCAGTTGTCCTCACTGGGCACTCAGACGCTTCTTGGGTTGACGACCTGGCTACTCAGCGGTCGTCACAGGGTTACACCTTCAGCCTTGGCTCTGGTTCAGTTTCGTGGCGTTCTACACGCTCGTCTTCAGTTCTCGGCTCCAGTTGTGAGGCTGAGATCTACGCCACCGCCATGGCTGCACAGGAGTTACGCTGGCTCACCTACCTGCTGACTGACTTGGGAGAGCAGCCTCGTTCTCCTCCAGTGCTGTACGTTGACAACAAGGCCGCCATTGCCTTGTGTGAGGAGCACAGACTGGAGCACAGAACGAAGCACATTGCTCTGCGTTACTTCCTGGCTCGAGAGTTGCAGCAGCGAGGCCAGCTTTGTCTTCGTTACGTGGCCACTCGGGCCAACACTGCTGATATATTCACCAAGGCACTTCCGTCTGGTGATCATCAGCGCTTTTGTACTCTGTTAGGCCTTGTGCCTACGCTTCCACACTTGCTGTAGTCTTTGCTTGTACTGTGATCTATATACATATATACCTGCATGCTGGCTCTTGCTAGGTAGCCATCACTGTACTGTCATTGCTGCATATATATCTCTGCATGTGAACTGGCCTTGTGGCCATTTGCTTGTGCTCAGAATGTGTGGTGACGTTGTGATCCACCCTGAGCTTGTTTTGCTTCTCTTGACTGGTCTTGTGACCCGTTGCTCTCCCCCACTTTGCCTATGGGGGTGTGTCAAATGATATATATGTGTGATATATATTGGTAGGCTGTAGTGGGGTAGATGTTGTAGGAGATAACACTTTAGGGTTTTGTTATTTGTACCAAACTCTCCATAGTGAACTCAACCTTGCCTGATTCTCTCGACAGTGTGCACCTGCATGAGTGTCATTGCGTCATGATGACCTTGCCACCATCCACAGCACCTGTCAGCACGGCAGGCACGAGGAGGCTGGGGAGAGGAGGAGGAGGGTAAGCCTGTGTGCAGGTGTTGACACGCATGCAGTGGTAGGCAGGCAGGCCCCATCCCATCCCATGGCCCGAGGGGCAAGTGCGAGTGCTGGCACACCGCACAGCAGTGCCACTGTTGCAGCGGGATGGGTGGGCGGGGGGGGCTGGAGGAGCAGTACCGTATGTGGGCAATGGGGAATGGACCGTGATGAGAGCAGGGGGTACACTGTGGTGTGGACACTTGGCCGGAGGACTGCACCAGGTCCAGGTCCTATCCCATGTGGTGGAGTGAACTGAGGGGGATGGGCAAGGCCAATGTGCCTCTTAGCAACCAGTGCAAGCTCTCTCCTTCCTGTTTCCCCTTACCTAACCCACTACCGTACCGTCCTGCTACCATGACCATTTGAGAGCTACCGCAGTTCGAATCCACACCCGTATACAGGCACTACGGTACTGTAACAAGAAAAGCCTTCAGAATGGTAAGCTTATTGGTTGTTATAGCAGAAGCAACAATGGAATTGTTTGCTCCTGCTTTACCTGGCTAGAGCAACAGCAGAGCTACAGCAGAGCTACGGCAGAGCTACGGCAGAGCCACGGCAGAGCTATGGCACAGCTACAGCAGAGCTACGGCAGAGCTATGGCACAGCTACGGCAGAGCTATGGCACAGCTACGGCAGAGCTATGGCACAGCTACGGCAGAGCTATGGCACAGCTACGGCAGAGCTATGGCACAGCTACGGCAGAGCTATGGCACAGCTACGGCAGAGCTATGGCACAGCTACGGCAGAACTACGAAAGCTGGTACAGATCTATTTACTTGAAGCAGCGGGCATGCATTGCAAGAGCTTCGTGCTGCAGCAGCACGGTGACCACCATTCCACCTCACCCCAGCAGTACTGCCCCGCCCCTTCCACCTCTCACCTATCCTCCTGCTCTCCGCCCTCCCCCCACGCCCTCATCACCTGCGCCACCATCTTTTCCACCTCCGCCCTCTCCCCCTCCCCCATCGCCTCCACCACATCCCCCAGTGCTGCGCGCAAATCAGGGGTCGGGGGAACACAGGCGAGAGGGGGGAGCCAGAGGCGGAGGAAGAGGAGGCGGGTGGGGGAGGCGGGGGGAGGGAGGGGAGGAGGCGCAGGGCGGGGAGTAGCACTGGGGGGATGAAGGCGGCCAGGGGCGGCGGGAAGAGGCTGGCGGACGTTGGGGAGGCGAAATAGGGGGACCAGGCGGGCAAGGGGTGTGGGGAAGGGAGGGCAGGGGAGTGCGAGGGCGAGGGCGAGGGGGGGATGGGGCGGGTGGCGGAGAGGAGCGCGGGGAGGTGCGCGTCACAAGCGAGCCATGCAGCCACGTGGTCTTGCAGGCCCATGCCCGCCATGGCGCCCACCATGCGCCCCACCTGCTGCACCGCCTCCTCATACTCCGCCTCCGCCCTCCCCCGCTCCCCACCTCCGCCCTCCTCCGCGCCACTCCCTGGCGGAGTGCCCATGCTGGCGGGTGTGGCGCGCCCCTCGGCGGCGTGGGCGTGCAGGAGGGCAGCAGCGGCTGTCTTGACGTGGCTGACGAGGCTGTGGAAGCGAGCCACCACCAGGCGCCGCGTCATCTCCTCCCGCACTCCCTCCTCCTCTGCCTCCTCCTCTGCCTCCTCATCTGCCTCCTCCCCTCTTGCTGCCTCCTCCGTCGCCCCCTCACCCCCTTCCCCTTCCTCCGTCACCTCTTCCCCCCTTACCGCCCCCTCTTCCGCCTCTTTCCCCACTAACGCCTCCGCGATTGCCTCTTGCTCTCGTTCTCCCTCCCCCGGGCTGCTGCACTCATCTGCCGCCTCCTCTCGCGCGCGCCCTTCCTCCGTCCCCCCGCCGTGCTGCGCCGTCTTGATCGCTCCAATGCACCCCTCCATCCCCTCCGCTGTACGCGGATCTCCCCCCTCGCCCTCTCCCTTATCTGCGGCCCTCTTCTCCCGCCTTCCCCCCGACGTCCTCCCGCCAGTAACCCCGCCCCTGGCGCCCCTCTCGCCCCCCGCCTTGCTGTTCCTCTTCCCAGGCTCCGCTGCCCCCCCTGCGCCCGACTTCGCAGTCGCGATGCCCCACAATTCCCGCCTTGCGCTCGCCTTCGCCCACGCGCCTCCGCCTCCTGCCTTCGCTGCACCGCCGCCGCCGCTGCTGCCGCCCGCTCGGCTGCCAGCAGCGGCAGGTGACTTGGCAGCCCGTGCCGGCGCAGCAGCGACGGAGGCAGCAGCAGGGGCTGTGGAGAGCCGGACAGGGCTGGCAGAGGACGGCAGGGCGGCACGCGCGTGCGAGGCGTCAGTGGGTGTGGACGCGTCAACCGCCGTGCTGCTGCTCCCTCCCGGCCCTGCTTCTGCTTCCTTGTGCATCTCTGCTGCCTCTGCGTCCCTCCTTGCGTTTGATTCTCTTGTTGCCTTTACTCCTTCCGCCTCTACTGTTTCCGCCTCTGCTGCTTCCGCCACCGCTGCTTCCGCGTCTGCTGCTTCCGCCGCCGCTGCTTCCGCCGCCGCTGTTTCCGCCGATGCTGCTTCCGCCTCTGCTGTTTCCGCCTCTGTTGCTTCCGACTCTGTTCCCTCCCCACCTGTGCCCGCATCCCTCCGTGCTTCCGCCTCAGCCCGCCCCGCCCGTTCCATCTCCCCCTCCTCGCTGCCGCGCTGCAAATCCTGCTCGCTCCGCTCCGCTTCTTTCTTTTCCGCACTGCCCTCTGGTTCTGCCATCCTCCCCTTATCAACGTCCGCAGCTCCCTCCGCAGTCTTGTGTCCGCCAGGCGCAACGGTGTCCTCCGCCCCTCGCTCTTGTCTACCCCCTGGTTCCCCAGCCCCCACACTCCGCTGCTCCGCTTCTACTCCCGCGCGCTCATTCCTCTCGACCTCTTCCGCCGCTTCCTTCACTCCCTCTCCTCCGCCCGTTTGCGCGGCTTCTGCGGGCAGCAGCGCATCAGGGGTCATTGGCGCGACTGGCGCGCCTGCCTCGCGCGCCAGCTGCAACAAGTAAGGCGTGCGGGAGGGGGTTCTCCGGGGAGTCGCGCCGCCCGCCTGCTCGCCCGACTTCCCGCCGGCAGCAGCGGCGGCACTGGCGGCGAACAGCGCGGATCCGCCACTGGCAGACGAGCGGAGGTCGGTGGAGCGCGATGGTAGGCAGGCGCGGTGCGCGGGGCATGCGTGCACGCAGAGGTGGTTGCGCGGCGGGGAGCTGGGGAGCAAGAAGGGGAAGGGGATGGTGGTGAGGCCGGGCGTGGCGTCGACGACGACGAGCGTGAGCAGACACGCGAAGAGCAGAAGCACGTACTGCGCCGCCAGGAACCACAGCGGCTCCACGCCTGACAGGGGGGGATGCGGATGGGGAGGCGCAACAGCAATTGGAGTCAAAGGGCGCACATGGACGGTGCGGCAGATGCAGTGGATGGAACAGGCGAGAAGACAAGCGGGGTACGGCACTACTTGGGAAGAGATGAGGCGTGCGGGAGGAACCTGGGAAGAGCGGCTGGCGGACGGACTCGGTGAAGAAGCCGAGCGACGTGAACGCGACGGCGGAGATGGCGGCGTGCCCCACCACGTGCGCGTCGCACATCAGCACGAAGTCTGCCGTCGCCGTGCGCAGAACCCTCGCGCCGCCGTACCTGGAGGGGAAAGAGTCCGTGGAGGCAAGAGGAGAAGGAAATGTGGGGGAAGGCAGCATGCGGCAAGGCTGATGGGAGCGACGCCGTGGGCGCACGGAGGGAATGGGCGTCGCTGCCCCGCGAGAGCGAAGTGGGGGGCGCACATTAGCAACCACGAGTTTCCGCGTGACTTGCGCGGCTGCGCGGGGGATTCGTGCACGACAAGTGCACCGTGGAGCTGCCTCGGGCCAATCCGAAGGCACATGGATGGGAAGCAAGGGAGTGAGGAAGCAAGGCAGTGAGGAAGCAAGCGCGCATGACTCACCGCGGCGAGTTGGGCGGGAGGCGCTTGAGGAAGGCGAGGAGCGTGGAGGCGAGCAGGCACCAGATGAGCGCCACCGTTATCGCCGTCTTGCGACTCGCCGCGTCCCCCGCGCACGACGCCAGAACCTGCGCGCACCCGACACGGGCAGACGCACGAGGCGACAGCGAGGGATGGAGGGAGAGAAGTGGCTTGAGGAGAAAGTGGTGAGAAGGACGGGGCGGCGAAGGAGAAAGTGATGAGAAGGACGGGGCGGCGAAGGAGAAAGTGATGAGAAGGACGGGGCGGCGAAGGAGGAAGTAAGCGACAGGCAAGAAAACGAAGAAAGGAAACAGCGATAGGTGGGACGAAGGGGAGGAGGGAGGGCGCGGGGCGGGACGCACGAGGGCGAAGTTGAGGACGAGCAGCGAGCCGAAAGGGAAGTACTTGGACAGCCGCGCCGGGAAGAAACACTGCGTGCCGTCTGTCACACCCGCGGCCCTCGCTGCGCCCCTCTCCCGCTGCCGCTGCGCATGCGCCGGGCCTGCCATGCGGAGGAGGGGATGAGCGGAATGACGAGGCGGGGATGGAGGGGGTTGAGTCAGCCCAAGCGATGAACCGCGGATTGTGAGACGCGTGAGCGCGGAGCACGAGTGGCCACCTACCTGACCATACGAGGCCGCTCTTGCGATTTTCGCGCGGGCTCGTTCCGTCGTCCACTTGTATCCACGCCTCGCTCGCTGCCTCGCCTGACGGCTCTAAGTCCGCCGCAGACATGATCGCCCGCGCTCCCTGCTAGTCGCACTGCTAGTCGCACTGCTAGTCGCACTGCTAGTCGCACTGCTAGTCGCACTGCTAGTGCACTGCTAGTCGCACTGCTAATCGCACTCTGTTCACCGCTAGTAACGTTCTTGTCTCTACCACTTCGTCTTCGGGTTCGCGTTTCAAAAAGCTCGCTCACACCTGGCTGCCTTGGTCGATTGCGTTACGCATCTCCCACTGCTTCTGCAATCCAACCTGCTCCCTTCGCCCCACCTCTTCTGCCCTCCTCAGAGCCTTTTCTGGGTGATCGTCAAGTAAATTCGACTGGAGAGACGCGGCTCGGCTCCGTGCATTCAGAGTTGACGAACGTGAGTGATGTGAGTTCGCCAAGGATGCCCGATTCGGACAAGGCAGGGACGTGCGAGATGAGTTTCGTCCACATGTAGTGTAGTGACTCGTAATACACTGGGCTGGTTTCCGATATGCATGTAGTAATTAATATAGGTGATATTGGTGTAACCTTCTCACATGCTTCGTTATTGTACTCATCGACCCCAAACAGAAGCGGTGGTTGCTCGTCATGAGCACTTTTGACTCGTCTGCGCGATTCGATACGTTTCGTTCAACCAGCTGCGACAAACCAAATCTTTGCCAACCGAGCATCATCGCCTGGGGAAGATCAGGGAGGCGATGCACGGCACATCACCACCTCCACTGCCGCTTGCGCCGTTCCGACTTCACCCGCGCGCTAAAGTTTGGGTTGGGGGGGAGTCTCTGCAACTCCCCCCCACACCAGACCAGGGGGGAGCAAAAAAACAGGTCGGTGTTGCACTGCTCGCAGTCACATACATTAGTGCTTTTGTTCGTGAAAGTTGTTAGTGTCGCATGGAGTCGCACACTCAGGTACGAAGTACTGACATTAGACATTGGAGCACACTTACCGATGCCATGCGAGCACCGTGTGCGATGAACGAGGCCCACACACGCAACGATGCGTGCTGGTAGTTGTGCGCCCGTGCTATCGCCCCTCGTTCCTCGTCTCCCACGTGTCGCCACGCCGCCATCGCCTCGCACTCTGTCCGCGCCCGCGCTTCCCTCTTCGCCCGTCCTGTGCGCACCTTCGCGCCGCACCCCCCGTTCGCCACTATGGGCTGCGCTAGTTCCTCGCCCACCGCCAACGCGGCAGCGGGGGAGGTTGGAAATGGCGGCGAGGGCCAGGCGGAGGAGTGGACGCTGTGCGGATGCGGGGGAAATCGGCGCGCTAAGGAGGGGAAGGTGCGGACGCAGGCGGGCGGGGAGAAGAGGCGGAGGACCAGGGAAAACGAGGCGCAGAAAGGGGAGGCATTGGGGAACGGGCGCGCGGTTAAGAACGAGCGGAATGCGGATGTGATGCGCGGTGGGGCCCGAGGCGAGGAGAGGGACGAGGGGAGAGAAGCGCACGAGGGGAGAGTGGGAGGCAAGGTGCGCGCAGAGGGCGGGCAGAATGGCGCGGAGCCCTGCTGTGCCGCGGGGATGGAAGGCGGAGCAAGGGGCGGCAGTCTCAAGGTGCGCAGCACTGATTGGGCTGCGGGCAAGGGGAGGGTGCAGGCACGGCGCGCTCTGGCCTGGCAACGAGGGGGGCGCGTCGGGGTGGGGGGGAGGGATGCGCGCGATAGATAGGCAGAGCACGGGGGATTAGGGATGCGCGGGATGAGTGGAGGCGCACTGGATGATGGGGGGGCGGGGTGGGAGGCGGAATGGTGGATGTGAAGGAGGGGCGGGGGGTCGGAGGGCGCATGTGGGCGTGCATGTGCATGAGTCCCTTGACATGCTTATCTCTGTGTGTGTGTGTGTGTGTGTGTGTGTGTGTGTGTGTGTGTGTGTGTGTGTGTCCCTGTGTGCTTTTATCTGTGATTGCAGCAAGCAGAGCGAGCAGAGCAAGCAGCAGCAGCAGGCACCCAGCCCAGCGAGGCAGCCACAGCAGCACAGGACGCTTCGCCATCCACACGGTGCGCCTTCACATGCCATCCACACGGTGCGCCTTCACATGCCATCCACACGGTGCGCCTTCACATGCCATCCACACGGTGCGCCTTCACATGCCATCCACACGGTGCGCCTTCACATGCCATCCACACGGTGCGCCTTCACATGCCATCCACACGGTGCGCCTTCACATGCCATCCACACGGTGCGCCTTCACATGCCATCCACACGGTGCGCCTTCACATGCCATCCACACGGTGCGCCTTCACATGCCATCCACACGGTGCGCCTTCACATGCCATCCACACGGTGCGCCTTCACATGCCATCCACACGGTGCGCCTTCACATGCCATCCACACGGTGCGCCTTCACATGCCATCCACACGGTGCGCCTTCACATGCCATCCACACGGTGCGCCTTCACATGCCATCCACACGGTGCGCCTTCACATGCCATCCACACGGTGCGCCTTCACATGCCATCCACACGGTGCGCCTTCACATGCCATCCACACGGTGCGCCTTCACATGCCATCCACACGGTGCGCCTTCACATGCCACCTCCATTCCTCTCCCTGCCTCCCCTCTGCCTGCTACCTTTCACATGCCGCACCATCGCCACATCACGCCACTTTCCTTTATTCACAGCCCCCACTGCCCATCCCCCACCGCGCAACATTGCAGGAGCGTGCTGCCCCCACGGCCCACCCAGCTCGCCCAATCCCCCACCAGCACGCAATCCCCCACCAGGTGCCATATTCCCTTGCCACCACGTGCCGTTCCACTTTGCTGCTCCGCCTCCTGGCCGTGCCATCTCCTCAATGCCCCCCCACGTCATGCTCACTTTTGCTGGACCCCGTGCGTGTGTGTGCATGCTATGGCATGTGTGCATGGCATGTCATGTGCATGGCATGTCATGTGCATGGCATGTCCCGTGCATGGCATGTCATGTGCATGGCATGTCCCGTGCATGGCATGTCATGTTGCATGGCATGTCATGTGCATGGCATGTCCCGTGCATGGCATGTCCCGTGCATGGCATGTCCCGTGCATGGCATGTCCCGTGCATGGCATGTCATGTGCATGGCATGTGATGTGCATGGCATGTGATGTGCATGGCATGTGATGTGCATGGCATGGCACAGCAGGGTGGGCGTGCTGGCGTTTGAGGTGGCAGCGGCGGTGGTGAGGGCGGGGGTGGTGCGGCAGTCAGTGGAGGGGGAGGACGTGGACGAGCTGCGGCGCGAGGTGCTGGCGTCCGATGGCATCGCCTTCCTGCTCTCCTCCGACTTCAACCACGTCTGGCAGATCGCCGCCCGCGATAAGTGGTCCGTCTCACACACTCCTGCTTGCGCTGTCTGCTCTTTGCCTCCTTACCCACTGCTTGCAACAATCTCTCATGCCCAAACTTGCAGCTGTCTTGACTCGTTCTCTCTGTACCCCTTCCCGCCCCCCCCTCCCCCTCCCCTCCCCCCGTGGCTGCGGCGTGCAGGGAGGAGGTGGGGCGGCTGGCAGCGAGTGTGGCGCGTCTCGGCTCGCAGTGCACCGACACCGCTCTGCACTCCCTCGCCCTCCGCTTCTCCAGGTCCGCTCGCCACCCGGGCGGCACGCAAGACTGTAGCAGGTGCAGGGGGGGGGGCGGGTGACAGGGAATGTGCAGAGGGCAGTGGCGGTGGGAGGTGGCAGAGCGGCCACAGACAGTAGAGCATCCAGTCGAGTGCAGTGCGTGGGCCATGGCTGGCTGTTTCCCCCTGCAGGCACACCCATCCCCCCTGCAGGCACACCCATCCCCCCTGCAGGCACACCCATCCCCCCTGCAGGCACACCCATCCCCCCTGCTCCCTTTGCTGCACCCACCTGGCCTGCATACCATCACCCCCCTTGGCTCCCGTGCCTTGCCCCCTTCTCCCCCCCAGCCTGGCTGCAGCAGTGAGGGAACAGCAGGGAGGTGGGGGGGACGCGCAGGGGGGAACAGAAGGGGGGGCGGAAGGGGAGGCGGAGGAGGGGGAGGCGGTGGACGAGCTGCTGCTGCAGATGGAGGAGGACGCTCAGATCACCATGGTGAGACGTGACGTCAGTGGGGTAAGCTGCTGACGTCAGTGTGTTGCTGTGGATGTTGGCATTCGCTGCCATGTGTTGTTGACATGCCACTTTCCACGGCCCACTTCAGACCTGCTTGCTGACCTCCCATGGCCATGGCCATGCCCCCCTTCTCCCCTGCGTTGTCGCCATGCATGCATGCATGCTTGCAGGAGCTGAGGCGCGAGGTGCTGCTGCTGGAGGCCATGCGCCGCGACATGGATGCCACATGCGATACTGGTGATCATGCTCGTGATGCTGCTGGGGGGGATGAGCATGGGGGTGATGGGGATGGTGCTGCAGATTGTAGTGCATCGTGCATTTGAAGAGAGCTGCATTTGGGGGGAGGCATGGCAGTGAAGAGGCATGCACGTGTTGTGTTGCGGAACTCACATCATGTGTGCTGCGGCTCTCACATCATGTGTGTTGCGGCTCTCACATCACATGTGGTGTGGTGTGGTGGTGCGTGCAGGGGAGAGGGCAGCAGAGGTGAGGGCACAGAAGGAGCGAGTGCGCGCCATGCAGGAGAGCTCCTTCTGGGACCGCCCACTCGATGAGGTGATGCGCTGACATGCATGGCATGGGGTGGTAGATGTTATGTGCTGTTATGTGTGATGTGATGTGTTATGACGTAAGCCTGTGCATGCATGAGTAATATGAGTGGGATGATGCTCCTATCTGCATCATTGCTCTGCCAGAGCCGTCTCACCCGCCTGCCTGCCACCCCTCCTCCACCCAACTCCCCCCCCTCCCGCTCCATTTAGCTGGTGCGCCAGCTGGCGCGCGTTGTGGATCATCTCATCCGCCTCGTCTCCTCCACCTTCGGCCCGCTGCGTGAGTGCATCGCTGCCTCCCTCCCTCACTGCATCCATCGCCATGCCCTTCCTTAATCCACTCTCCGCCTTTCATCTCATCACCCCACTTCCCCCTTCCACTCTTCCCCCCATACTCTCCTTCACATCCCGCCCCCCTCTCATTCCCCGCATGCCCCCAACGCCCCGCCAGCACCGGACGTCCCTCTGCTGCCCGTGCGGGGGAAGGGCGCACAGGCGGAAGGGGGGAGGGAGGGGCAGGCGGAGGGGGGGAGAAAGCTGGGGGAGTGGGGCATGGCGCTGGCGTATGCGCGGCTCATCATCGCCATCGACCTGCTGGTGAGGCATCACCCACTGCTGCTGCTCACAAGCCACCCGCCACTGGTGAGACGGCAGCAGTGGTAGTGGTGTAAGCAGTGGTAGAGAGAAAGGTAACTGTGGCGAGGCATCTGTCAGCTTCATCACTCGCACTCGCACTCGCACTGCCTCCCACGTGTCTTATCCCATCTCTCCCTTATGGGTCTCCCCTTCCCCTTTCTGCACGTCTGCTCCTCTTTCCTTGTCCCTATTCCACTCTCTCCCTACCCTTCCCCCTATGGCGGGGCGCAGGTGGGCATGCAGGGGGCGGAGAGCCGGAGGGACTACCTGTACTCGCTGCTGCCACACTCGCTGCGCTGCAAGCTCAAAGGGGCGCTGCTGCAGTCACAACACATCTGCATGGTGGGTGGGCAGTCGAGAAATTTTCATGTCTGATGTTGTCTCTTGTTTCTCTCGTGCATAGTGTATCTGTGGCATGCCATGCCATGCTGAGCCATGCCATGCCTGGCATGGCAACCGTCCACGTGAAACCTGAATGCACGTCATGCCATGCTCCAAGAGGGCATCCCGTGGGCGCTCAGTTGAGTCGTCCCATTGTATTCATGCCATGCCATGCCATGGCACACGATTGCATCTGGGCTGTGTTGTTGTGGCATGATGTGGTGGGATGGCATGACATGGATGGCGTGTGGTTGGCATGGATGGTATGTTATTGTGGTGTGCTGGCATGGGTTGGCATGGCATGGGTGGCCTGACCTGACACGGATGGCAGGAGAGCACGGAGAGCATAGAGGAGAAGCTGGAGGGCGTGTTGGACTGGCTGGTCACCATGGCAGACAACACCATCAGGTGAATTCAACACCATCAGGTGAATTCAACACCATCAGGTGATTCCAACACAACCAGGTGATTCCAATATCATCACGTAAATCCAACACCATCAGGTGCTTGCAGCACCATCCAGTGTTCCATCAAGACTCAAACGTTGTAATCCCTCCCATCCCATTCTCTTCCCAACCTTCTCCTCTCTGCCCCTTTCCCCCTGGGCACAGGTACGCGAGTGACGTGCGGGTGCGGGGAGGCAGTGCGTTGAGTCGCCTGCAGACGCTGCACCACGTGGAGGAGGCGCGCATGGAGCGCCTCGTGCTGCTGCTGCTCATCGGCCTGCAGCACCTCGCCAGCCGCCAACAGCTCCCCCCTCCCCTCGCCCCCCCCACACACCTACACCTGCCCCTGGCACCGCCTCACCACACGGGGTGGGCGAGGGGGGCAACGGCAGCAGAGGGGCTGGGCCCAGTGGCAGGTATGCGATGACAGGCGCTGGGGGCGGCCCATGGGGCGCTGGCAGGGGCGCGGGCAGGGCGGGTGGTGGTGCAGCTGAGAGGAGGGGCGGGGGTGCGGGGGAAGAGGGGAGAGATACGAGAGAAGGGGAGGGGCAGGGGAGTCTGGGGGGTAGCGGTAGTGGCAAGGGAGAGAGCAGGGAGGCAGCAGGCAGTGGAGGAGCTGCTTTACCCGCTGCTGCTGGTGGGGGTGGTGGCGGTGGCGGTGGCAGGGAGAGGGGGTGGGCGAGTCACACGCGGGTGTGGCATCCCATCCCATGCACCGCCATCACAGCCCCCTGCCCGCCCCCTGCTGCACACGTGGCAGCTGACTTGGCCAGTGACGTGGCAGCGAGTGAGGGGCACCTGGCAGGTGTGTGTGGTGAAGGGCCAGGCGGTGAGGAGCGGGTGGGGGGGTCGGTTGCAGGACATGCAGCGCTGGGCCTGTCGGGGCAGGAGGCAGAGCGGGGAGATGCCGGCACAGTAAAGCCAGGGAGCGGCGCAATGGCAGTAGAGGCAGGTGCAGCAGAGGGAGCAGCAGAGGGAGCAGCAGAGGGAGCAGCAGAGGGAGCAGCAGAGGGAGTATGCGAGGAACGGTTGGGCAGCCCTGGGGGCATGCAGGACGTGCCTCCCATCGACCTGCATGCTGCGGCGCTGTCCAGCCACCCGCAGTGGTCGCCCGGGTCGGGCAGCGACCCCCCCTCCCCCGCCCCGCTGCCATGGTCGGGGCCGGTGAGCGAGCGCAGCAGCTGTGGCCGCGCGTCACAGGCGAGCAGCCCCGGCGGCGTGGCGTGGAGCGGCGGTGTGCGGCGCACGGGCAGTGCGGAGGGCAGCAGGGAGGGCGAGGGCGTGGAGGAGTGGAGCGACATCCTGGGCCACTTGTCGTCCGCTGCACGCGGTGCCCTGGGGGGGGTGGGAGGGGTAGGGGCAGGCGAGGGTGATGGGGGGATTGCTGTGGAGAGTGCAGCGATGGTGGGGGGTGAGGGTGTGGCGAATGTGAGTGTGGGGAGTGTGAGCAGTGGGCGGCGGGAATGGAGGGCGCCACAGAGTGTGCCTGAGGAGGAGGAGGAAGGCCAAGAGGGGGAGACCAAGGCCAGTGAGGATCAAGGGGAGCAAGGGGAACAAGTGGCAAGTGCAACACACAGCGCCACAGCGGAAGCAGCAGCGGCAGAGCCAGCAGTGTTAGCAAGATTGGTGGAATCGGGCATGTGCCCACCTGCCCCACCGCCATCTCATCTGCCCACCCAGCCTTTCACTCCTGGGTCACCTGCACGCACTCTCATGCCGCCCTCGCCCTCCTCTGCCATGCCACCGCGCGCTGCGCTGCTAGCCGGTGCAGCAGGCAGTGTGGATGACGTCACGCTTGGCACTGTGGTGGGCACCGCCACCCCCAGCAGCGTGGCGGCAGAAGGAGGGCCGGTGGCGAGGGTGCGGGCGCGGGCCCCGCGGGCGGGGTGGAAGAGCAAGAGCCAGCCGCTGGAGCGCCTGGCGGCCCGCATGAAGCAGCGGCAGCAGCGGGCAGCGGGGCAGCTGCAGGACAGCACAGGCGTGGTGGGAAGAGGGGGCAGCCCCCAGCTGCAGCTGCAGGGTGATGGGCCCGGCAGGGGGCTGGCAGGGCGACAGTCGGTCTCGCGCACTCTGAGTCGCCTGCAGCAGCACCATGCCAACAGCCTCACCGCCTCCTCGGCTGGCAGCGCTGCCCTGGGGGCGGACTCCCTCCTCCACGCGCGTGTGCTGCGCCGCGCTCTCACTCCCAACCCTGGCGCTGCTGCTGGCGGCAGCCACAGCGGGGGGCTGGAGAGGCGTGTGGGGAGGGGACTGGGGGGCGTGTGGGAGGGGGAAATGGGGGTGGGGGTGGAGGGGGAGGAGGAGGAGGAGGCGGACATCGACCGCATTCTGGATGCGCGGCCTGACATGGACATCAGCGCCCTCAGCCCCATGCTCATGCGCTCCCCCTCCTTTGGCCGCCAGCAGTACTGGATGGTGTGAGGTGCTGTGCGGTGCCCAGTGGGATGGCTGTGTGCTGCATGCTGTTTTCGCCCACTCATTTATCAGTAGCTCCCATAGGTGTTGTCCAAGCTGGTTGCATAACTTGGAGCAGGTTGCGCAGCGAACCATGAACACGTAGGGAGTGCTTGCTACCGTATGTCACTTCTTCCATGCTGCCACCCCAGTTGATTTGACATCAAGTGTACCATAATTTCACTAGAGTAATACTAGGAACCACTGTATTGAATGTAGCTGCTGCCCATTATGTAAATCATGCTCTAACCATGCTTCCATGTTTCTTTCTGGCTGCATACAAAATTCAGTACAGCTAATACAGTACATAAATTCCCATGTTGGATGAAAGTATGCATAATTACAACAGTAGCGTAGGCAACTCTCGCAACTCACCACTACTATCTTGCAATGACGGTACGGTATTTCCCCCCCTAACTTCCTAACTCCTCAAAGCTCTCAACATCTCTTGTGGGGTATGGGTCACATTAACCTTCTAATCAAGAGGACTCAAAAAATGACTTGAAACTTCTGCCTGTGCTCAGCTCAGCACCATGGCAACATGCTGCCATGGCTATTTGGGACCGGAAACAGTGCCGGCCTCCACAGCCTCGTGACATGGCAGGGCGCAGGCAGAGCGAGAGGCTGGCACATAAGGCAGTCATTGTACTGCTGCTTGCCCCCACAGCCCTTGAACCCGTGCATTCCTCCAAGCACCGCATGACATGGCACTGCAGCCAACCCACTCTTGGTCTACCAAAGACCCCAAGCTCGCTTCTTCTTCTCCTTGCCTCCCTCCCTGTCCTCTTTCTTGTCCCCGCCACTCGTCTCCCCTCCTTCCCCACCATCCGCATCCTCCTTGCCATGCTGCTCTCCCTGCGCCCCCCCATCCTCCTTCTCCCACTCCTCCAGCAGCTTCCTCTGTCGTGCCGTCAGCTCCCTGCACAGTCAAGGTGGGATGGGTGGCAGAGGCACGGGCAGTGTGAGAAACTTGGTGGGTGGGCAGTGCAAGAGGATTGATGGGTGGGAGAGGGTCCACAGCAAGAAGAAAAGCAGAGCTAACAGCAAATCATACACTAAGAGGATGTGTGTGCTATGAGGGAGGTGAATGGAGGGAAAATGCAGGAAGTGAAAGGAGAGGCGACATGGAGGCGAGAGGAGAGGCAGTGAAGGAGGAAAGGGAGGGGCAATGATGGAGGAGCGGAGGGGCGAGTGGGCAGCAGACGCACGTGGGCACGGCAACATTGACGTGCACAAACTGACTCCCCACTCGGCGACTCGTGGCCGATCGCACTCCTGCGCGTGGGCAGAGGGAAAGATAGGGGAAGGGAGAGTGGAGAAGTGATGGGAAAGAGAAATGGGTAAGAGAGATGTAGGAGGGGAAATGGGTACGAAGGTGGGAGTGAAACGGTCATGGGTGCAGAGCAAACAGGAACCCGTATGGTTGAAGGTAGCAGATCAACGGTGGAGCAGATGGGCAGAGAGGGGGATTGCAAGGGCAAGGGTGGGTGCACTGCAAGGTGGCGTACCTTTATCGCGCAGCTGGAGCACCTGGCCTGGCTGTGTGCCTGGCTTGATCTGCACGCCCACAGCATTGACAGCACGGCACGTGCATGGCGGCAAGGGACGGCATGCACATTGCAGCATGAGCACGGCATGTGCATGGCAAGTGGCTAAGAAACTGCGAGTGTGGGAAGCACATGCCTCTAGGTAATGGCAACAACGTCAAGTCAATGCATCGACCCCCTGGCCTGTAACTGCATCAACATGGCATGGCATGGATGGCATGGCATGGTATGGTATTGGCATGGCATGGCAGGGCATGGCAGGGCATGGTATGGCATGGCATGAGCAGCAGCACCTTAAGGATGACCTCCCCTGAGAGTGTTGGCACCGGCACTGATGCTCCCAGACACGCCTGGCACGCACACACGCCATGGCAGGGGCGATGGCAGGGGCGCGAGGGGGCCCGTGGGAGGGGCGTGGGAGAGTTGTGGCTTGGAGGAGCAAGCAGGAGAGGAGGGGGGGTACGATGTTCAGGCAGGGAAGACAAGGGCAGGATAGATAGGGCTGGGAGGATAAGTATGGGTATGCGATACGGTGCGCACATGATAGGAGAGGGAGCATGAGGAGGAGGGGGGGGGGGTGGCACCTGGGGGAAGGAGACGTGCAGGTCGACGTGGATGTCGTTGCCGTCCCTCTTGAACACCGCGTCCTCCTCCACCTGGCACATGGCGCATGGCACACGGGGCATGGGGCAAGGGGCAAGGGGCATGCGGCACCGGGCAGGGACATGAGGTAAAGGGCAGGGGGACGGGGCATGGTGCAGGGGGGAGTGAGTGGCTGAGAGAGATGAGAAAACCAGCTGCCAGCACCTGCACAGGACGAAGCTGAATGTTCAGCAGCAGGTCACCTGAATGTTCAGCAGCAGGTCACCTGAATGTTCAGCAGCAGGTCACCTGAATGTTCACCAGCAGGTCACCTGAATGTTCAGCAGCAGGTCCCCAGGTGGCGCCCCTTTCCCCCCTGCGCCTCCCTGCCCCGGCACCCTCAAGGTCACTCCCGAGTCCACCCCTGCTCGCCACCCCACACCCGTGTTGGCACAGGAGAGAGAAGGGAGGAAAGGGAGGAGAGGGGCAGTGGGATGAGGAGCGAAAGAAGTTGATGGGAAAAGAAGGGTTCGTAGAGACGGCGGATGGGATGGAGCCGCAAGAGGATGTGAACGGTGCACGGCTGGGAGGCAGGGTGGGAAGAGGGAAGAGGATGGGCAGGTTGAGCTGGTTGTAGTGCTCCCAGGGAATGGCTCATCCTCCCTGCTGCTGCCATGCCATGTGCTCCCACCGACCATCCACTCCCACCCACCCACCTGCTGGTATGGAGACATCCACTTCCCGCCTCTCCTTCACTGTGCCCTCCCCATGACATGTCTTGCACCACTCCTGTTGTGTGCATGCAGGCATGCATACATGATGCCAGGATGCCATAGTGCCATGACGTCATGATGCCATGATGCCGTGATATTATGTGGAACAAGAGGGTACACATGTGAGGGCAGATTAAGGGAAAGGACAAGAGCCACGCGACAAGGGGTGTCAGAAGAATTAAGGAGAAATCGAAAGTGAGCAAAGGGAGTGGTACCAAGAAGGGGAACGCAGGCAGCGGTGCGCGCACCTTGACGAAGACGCCCTGGCCGCCACAGGAGGAGCACGTCTGCATCACCACTGACGCCCCCATTCGCCGCATCTCCTGCTCCCACCACGTGGGGGGGAATTGGGGTGGACACAGGAGAAGTGTGGTTGGGGGAGGGAAGGGCACAGGTGTGTGAGGACGGAGAGGAGATGCGAGGAGAAGGGAAGAACGGAGAGGGGAGGGGGGAGAGGGTGGGGTACTGACCATGCCTTGGCCCTTGCACGCCTTGCACGGGGTGGGCTGGTACCCCTTGGGCATGCCTGATCCACCTGCATTCAGGGGGAGAGCCAAGTGGGCAGCAACACACAGAGGCAGGGGGGCAGTGGCGCATTGAAACGAGTCAAAGGTGGATTCACGTGGACATCAAGTGGCTTCTCATGCTCACATTAACGAAGATATTGGGCAGACTGATAACAGAGAGTGCTGATTCGCATGAGCACAGGCAAGAGCAGCAGAGAGCACTCACTGCAGGAGGAGCAGCAGAGAGCACTCACTGCAGGAGGAGCAGCAGAGAGCACTCACTGCAGGAGGAGCAGCAGAGAGCACTCACTGCAGGAGGAGCAGCAGAGAGCAGGCACTCACTGCAGGAGGAGAAGCAGAGAGCACTCACTGCAGGAGGAGCAGCAGAGAGCACTCACTGCAGGAGGAGCAGCAGAGAGCACTCACTGCAGGAGGAGCAGCAGAGAGCACTCACTGCAGGAGGAGCAGCAGAGAGCAGGCACTCACTGCAGGAGGAGCAGCGCACGGGAGCAGAGAAGGAGAGGTGGCGCGAGCAGCCGTCCACTGCCTCCCTCAGCGTCAGCCTCACCGCCATCTGCACACTCTCGCCGCCCCTCGGCCCCGCCGCCCCCATGCCCATGCCCATGCCCATGCCGCCCATGCCGCCCATGCCGCCCATGCGCCCAAAGATGCCGCCCAGCATCTGGGGAAGCGGGGGCAAGGGTGGGAGGGGAGCGGGGCAGGTGAACGGAAGTAGGGGAGGAGGGGGGCACGGGGGGCACGGGGGGCACGGGGGGCACGGGGGGCACGGGGGGCACGGGGGGCACGGGGGGCACGGGGGGCACGGGGGGCAGCAAGTGTGGTGTGGTGCAAGCATGGGGTGGGAGAAGCAGGTGGTGGTGACGGGATGGACTGCCACTGGCAGCCCCTACCCGCCCCTTGTGGTGTGCAGCCAAGTGCAGTGCGGTTCGGTGCAGTGCAGTGCACACACCTCTTCGAAGTCCGACGGCCCTCCGAAGCCAGAGAATCCGCCGAAGCCCTGAGCGCCCGCCCCTGCGCCCGGGCCCCCCGCTGCCCCCCCCTCAAACGCCTCCGGACCAACCTGGGCCGGCAAGGGAGGATGAGCAGGGAGAGAGGAAACAGGGCGGAAGAGGAGGAACCAGGAGAAAGCAGGAGCGGAAGGCTGAGGGGCACGAAGAGCGAGGCAAGCTGTAAGAGGGGAAAAGAAATGTGAAAGCAGCACACGGAAGTGAGTGGGGAAGAAAGGAGAATAAAGGCGACCAATCAAGTGCACGGATGCGTCATGCGGGCATGTGATGGTGAGTGGAACATGGCATACCTGATCGTACATGGCCCTCTTTTCATCATCCTTTAGCACCTGCGAGGAGACACACACACTCACACACGCCGTACGCACACATGAACACATGTCATGGCACGCAAACAAGCAAGCAAGTGGCATTTCACATTTCACAATGGCAGAGACAGACGAGAGCAGCAGGTAGAGCGGAGAAGGAAGCGCACATGCGATGAGTTTAGCCCATCCCAGCCCTGCCCTGCCACCTCCCTCCCACTGCCTGCTGCCACCACCCCCCCCCTCTCACCTCGTACGCCTGCTGAACCTCTCACCTCGTACGCCTGCTGAACCTCTCACCTCGTACGCCTGCTGAACCTCTCACCTCGTACGCCTGCTGAACCTCTCACCTCGTACGCCTGCTGAACCTCTCACCTCGTACGCCTGCTGAACCTCTCACCTCGTACGCCTGCTGCACCTCTCTCTCACCTCGTACGCCTGCTGCACCTCTCACCTCGTACGCCTGCTGCACCTCTCACCTCGTACGCCTGCTGCACCTCTCACCTCGTACGCCTGCTGCACCTCTCACCTCGTACGCCTGCTGCACCTCTCACCTCGTACGCCTGCTGCACCTCTCACCTCGTACGCCTGCTGCACCTCTCACCTCGTACGCCTGCTGCACCTCTCACCTCGTACGCCTGCTGCACCTCTCACCTCGTACGCCTGCTGCACCTCTCACCTCGTCCTGCTGCACCTCTCACCTCGTACGCCTGCTGCACCTCTCACCTCGTACGCCTGCTGCACCTCTCTCTCACCTCGTACGCCTGCTGCACCTCACCTCTCACCTCGTACGCCTGCTGCACCTCTCACCTCGTACGCCTGCTGCACCTCTCACCTCGTACGCCTGCTGCACCTCTCACCTCGTACGCCTGCTGCACCTCTCACCTCGTACGCCTGCTGCACCTCTCACCTCGTACGCCTGCTGCACCTCTCACCTCGTACGCCTGCTGCACCTCTCACCTCGTACGCCTGCGGCACCTCTCACCTCGTACGCCTGCTGCACCTCACCTCTCACCTCGTACGCCTGCTGCACCTCTCACCTCGTACGCCTGCTGCACCTCTCACCTCGTACGCCTGCTGCACCTCTCACCTCGTACGCCTGCTGCACTTCTTGGAACTTCTTGGCTGCATTGGGGTCGTCCTTGTTCGCATCCGGGTGGTACTTCTTCGCCAGCTGCCACCCCACCATGCCCCACCACGCCCCACCACACCCCACCACACCCCACCACACACCACGGCGCACCACAGCGGAGGAGGAGCAGGGGGGAGCAGGCCAGGCAGGGAGGGCCAGGGGGGGAGCAGGGGGGGGGGGAGCAAATACGAGGGCATCATGTCAAAGACGCGCCCAGTAAACCGCGAACAGGGGTGCAATGAGTCGCAGCAAGCAGTGACAGTTGCGAGCACATAGTGGCGATGGCATGGTGGCATGACGGCACGGACCGCATAGAAGGCCTTTTTGATTTCAGCGGCCGTTGCCTTCCTTGACACCCCCAACACCGCATAGTAGTCCTGCCCCCTGCCCCGCTGCCGCTGCTGCTGCCGCTGCCGCTGCGGTGCCTGGGAGTGAGAGGCAAGCGAGGGGCGGATGGAACGGACGAGATGGGAGGAAAACGAATGGAACTGCTGCTGTGGCCCACTCACAATCACAATCAAACCCACACTCACAATCATTCAGCCATACTCACACTCACTCGAACGCACTCATAATCACACACACATCAACCAACGCACATCCACACACGTCCACTCACATACGCATGTGCACATATACATACCACACACCCCATCACACGCCACCGCACAGCACCAGCACCCCACCAGCCCCCACCACAGCCCACCCACCGCACAGCACGCACATGCTCTCACAGCTGGCGCCAGCTGGCAGCGCACCTGACGCGTGGAAGGCACGGTGAAAGAGCGAGCTGCGCTGCCACGTGGCAGTGGCTGATTCGATTGGATTGGCACCGGCGAATGGAGCGGCGTGAGCTGAGAGGCAGTGAGGGGCGGCGTGGAAAGCGTGGTGGAGGTTGCAGTGCGCGCTACGGGAATGGGCGGGGCTCAGTGGAGCGACGTGGGGGGATGCGCGGAGAGGGGATCGCGCGTGGAGGGGGTGGGGCGCTGCGCCATGCGTGCCGGCAGCCCTCTCTGCGCCCTCAGCTGCCGCGTGACAGCATGCTGCTGCCCGTTCACCGCCACACACCGCCCCTGACCGCTCTGCTCTCCACAACACCTCCGCTGCTGCGACGTGGCTGTTCGCGACTTGCGTGGACAAGGCATGCGTGCGCGCGTCCCCTTGGATCTCAAGCGCGCCTGATGGTGCGGCCGTCGCGCATCCGTCGCCTGCACACGCGGAGAAGGGGAGTGACGAGCCGTCGAGGGCAGTGGGAAAGGAAGTGGGAAGGAATTGCGGAAGGCGAAGGGTGAACGACAAGCGAGGGACGCAGGGCGAAGCGTGTGGCAGCGACGACAGGAGCGGGGAGGACGAAAGAGTCAATGCACTGCCGCCTTGCTGCTGCGGCATGCGGCCGTGCGCCGTGCGCGACGGGCTCTCGTAGCGCAACGGACGGCGATCGGCGCGTGAGTACGCGCTGCGACGACCCACCAGCACTGTGGCTGCCGCATATCGCCGCGACGCCGCGCGTGGGCGGCGGGAGGCTGGCGAGGCCGCGAGAGCGCGCGTGGCGAAGCATGAGAGGAGGACTCGCGCGGATCTAGAGATGAGTCGCTTTGGCGCTGGAAGCGGAGTCAGTGAACGAGAGGGTGGAGTGCTAGCGAGGCAGCGAGGACAGTCGCACGCACACGGGTGCGGGAGGGATGGAGGAGGCACAGCGTGCTGTGGCTGGGGAAAGTGGCGACGCGGAGGACTTCTGGAAAGATCCACTCGCTCGGTGCAGTGCAGCAGCTGAACACCCTTCACAAAAACAATCGGCTCTTTGTACGGTACCATCCCCGCTTGGTTCTGATGTCTTCATGATTGTCTACCAAAGATGTTTGTAGTGTAAATACTATAGATAGAATGGAATCTGCTTATATAAGCAATTCCGTGACATACTTGTGGTGCTGTTGTATCGCTGTTGCATCTTGAAGGCAGCATTTTGGAAAGATAGGTAGAAATCGAGTAGCGGTAATCCCTAGAATGCGAGCTTGTGATTCGGCGACGCGACCCTAGCTCCGCTCGTCGCCGCGTCGTCTTCCGTCCACACACAGCGACACCCGGCGCATCGTTGCGCGGCGCGCGAGCGCCATGGACGAGCAGTCGCCTGAGAAGCGCTTCGCGCGGGCGATGCAAATCCTATCGCCGCCACTGGCGGCCCGATCTAGGTCCGGCAGGGATGGTTTGCCTGTCACGCTTGGCTTGGGTTATGTTCGACTTGACTTGGCTTGGCTTTTTGTCTGTCAAATTAGTGCTCTCGGCTGTTAAGCCTCGCCTGTCATTAGGTTTCCGTCCTTCCGTTGTCGCCTGTTTCTCGCCTGTCTGTCGCCGTCATTCATTCCTTCTTTCCCCCAGTACAGACACGCGGTTTTTTTTTCCTTCGTTCCTCTCGATGTCTGCCAGCTCAGCAGCCCGTCACACACTGACACCTGGATCCAGCGTGGCACCGTTCCGCGGCGTGGCGGCTCAAGCGGCGTTCAGCTCCAGCAGCGCGCCGCCGCGCGCCGCCCCGCCGCTCTCGCTGCGGCCGTCGCTGGGCGAAGCGGGAGGGGCGGGCTCCCCCGCGATGCTCGCGCACGGCGACGGTGCAGCGGCGGCGGGGAGCGCAGCGCGGGCGGGAGCGGCTGCGTGCCGGCCGTGGGAGCGCAACGACCTGCTGCGACGGCTGGCGACGTTCAAGTCCACCACGTGGTTCGCCAAGCCGCAGGTGCGCCGCCGCGCTGCTCGCACACTGCCTTGCTGCTCGCACGTTTTGCTCCATGCGCGGATGTGTGCACGGTTCATGCGAGTAAGCATCCATTTGCGCCTCGCGTCCCGCCTCTCCTCCTTCTCCCTCCGCCCCTCTCTCCTCTCCCCTCTCCCTCGGCAGGCGGCGGGGGCGGTGGCGTGCGCGCGGAGGGGGTGGGTGAACTGCGATGTGGACATGCTGGCGTGCGAGGTGTGCCACGCGCGCCTCAGCTTCTGCGTGCCACCCACGTGGTCCAGAGCTCAAGGTCTGTCTGTTTGTTGCCCACGTGCTCTCGTGTTTCTGGTCGGCTGCGTGCCTCTCCTCACCCACCCCACCTCCCCTCAGACACTCACATCACATCCACCCATCCCTTCCTCCTCCCCTTGGGACCGTGGGCGGCAGTGGAGCGGGCGGCAGCGGAGGTGGCGGGGCGGCTGGAGTCGGCGCACAGGCAGCACTGCGCGTGGCGGGGCAACGAGTGCGACGAGGCGCTGCTGCTCTTCCCCCCCCAGCCGCCCGCCGCGCTGGCCGCGGCCGTGTTTGAGCGCTGCCAGGCGCTGCAGCAGCTGGCGCGCCTGCCCGCGCTGGCGCCCGCCGCGGTGGAGCGCATGAGGCGCTGCAGCCCGCGCGCCCTGGACGCGCTGCTGGCGCTGCCCGCGCTGCCAGTGGGCGCACCGTGGGACGACCCCGTGGGGCGCTCAGCCACGCGCGTCACGTCCGACGCCGCTGCTTACATCGAGGTGGGTGCCTTGCCTCTCCGCACTCCCCTTCACGCCAACAACCCTGCCTGTGCGCTCCTCTGTCCCCTGCTCTCACACGCCTTGCCCCACCCCACGGCCCCACGGCTGCACATTGCTCGTGCGTGGGCAGGTGCAGCGAATCATCGCGGTGTGCGGATGGGAGCCGCGCGCCCTGGGCGTGCTGCCAGACGCGCACGACCCGCCCCACGCCAACCACCGCCACCCGCCTGCACACCCCACCGCCCCTCTGCCCGCTCTGCCCCCCCATGGGCGCGCGCACGTGCCTGCGCGCCCCCCGCCTGGCATCCCTGCGAGCGCGGCGGTGCTGCAGTGCGCGCTGTGCGGCGCCAGCGTGGGCGTGTGGAATTACTCCACGCTGCCCCGCCCCCCCGCCCCCCCCGCCCTCCCCCCCGCCTCGCCCCAGCTCTCCGCCCGCCAGGGGCCGGCAGGGGAGGAGGGGGCGAGGGAGCGGGAGGCACAGGCGGAGAGGGGCAGTGAGGGAGAGGGGGGGAAGGCAGAGGAGGAGCAGCGGGAGGGCGAGAGTGGGGCGCGGAAGAGTCTCCCGCCCGCTCCTGCAGCGGCTGCCATCATTATCGCGCCTGTGGGGGGAATGAGCATCACGAGCCCCCCGCACAGGGCGGGGCTGGGCGCAGGGGGAAAGGTAAGGGGGCGGTGGGCAGTGTCCCAGAGGCAGGGGGGCGCGGGGGTGGCGGAAGGGATGGGGGAGGGCTCGGAGGAAGGGGTGGGGGGAGAGAAGGAAGGGGATAGGGTAGAGGGGGAAGCGGAGGGAGGTGCAGGGGGAGAGGGCACGGGGAGGGGCATGGGGCCCGAGGTGGTCACTTCGCCCAGACGGGTGCATGGTAGGCGCGAGGGGGAGGACGCGATGGACGAGCAAGGAATCGCTGCCCCGCTTGCCGCTGCGTCCGCTGCCCCTGCCCTGGCTGTTGCTGCTGCTGCTACCCCTGCTACTGCCGCTGCTGCGTCTGCTGGTGGTGCCGGTGGTGGTGGTGTGGGTAGGAGAGCGGCAGCAGGCAGCATGGGTGCGCCTGCCTCTGTGGTGAGGAGGCGGAAGCAGGGGTTGGAGGCGGGGGGGGCGGCAGCAGGAGTTGAGGCGGAGGCAGTGCGCCCTGCTGCCCCCGTGGCAGCAGCGCAGTCAATAGCAGGCAGCGCCACGCCACTCGCAGCTGCCTCCGCTGCTGCACCACCACCGCCTTCCGAGCACCGCCCACCATCGCCAGGAGCAGCGATTGCAGGAGCAACAGCAGGAGCAGGGTTGGGAGCGGGCGGGGTGGCACTGGATCTGGGTCTGACCATCGCTGGCGGCCTCCCTCCCACGCACCTCTCCTCCTCGCCCCCCCCGCGCCCCTTCGGCTCTGCCTCCGCCCTCCCCCTCTTTGGCGCCGGCCTGCCCATTCCTGGCTGCCACCTCAGCAGGCCTGCCGGCGCCAATCCGGGGGCAGGCGGCAAGGCGGGCGCAGGGGGGGGAGGAGGAGGAGGGGGAGGGGGAGTGGAAGGGGGCGGAGGAGGGGAACCAGCAGGGAGAGTAGGGTTAGAGGGGGAGGGAGGTGGAGAGGGAGGGGGAGAGGGGGGAGGCGTGGGCGCGGAGGGGTTTGGGCAGTGTTTGGGCGAGGTGAGCTTTGGGCGGGGGGGCGTGGCGGTGCTGCCGATGAACAGTGCGGAGGGCGTGGTGGCGGAGATGGAGGAGGTGTCGTCCGAGGAGGCCGAGGTGGAGGGCTCTCTGCGCGCCCGCGCTGCCCGCGCCAGGGGGGACGCTCACCGCGCCGCGGGCAGCAAGGGCGCGCCAGAGGGCGAGGCGGAGGGGCCAGTGGGCGGGCGCGCAGGCAGGGGCGCGTGGGGCAAGGAGGGCGGGGATGAGAACGAGAGGATGGAGGGGGGCGATGAGAGTGGGAGGGGGGAGGGGTGTGGGGAGACTCAGCGCCTGGAGGGCGGCGATGAGACCGGCAACGAGGGGGAGGGCGCGGGGGCGGCAGTGGCAGCACAGCAGAGCCGGCACGAGGGGGCTAGAGCCGACGCGGGTTTGTGCGTGAGCACGGGTCCCACGCAGGGCAGCAGCATGCAGGGCGGTGGCGCTGGCGGGGAGGGCGCCCGTGGGAGGGATCGTGTGGAGCAGCAGTTGTCGGCAGCAGCATTTCTTGTGCCGTCCACACGTGCTCCGGCTGCCAGCACGGCAGGCAGGGGAGGTGTGGGTGGGGAGGAGGGGGTGCCTGGAGGTGTGGCGTCAGCGGCAGGCAGTGGCGCAGTGGGGTGTAGTGCGGTGGGGCACGGCGATGGCGCACAGCAGCAGCGGGGCAGGGCGGTTGAGGGGCAGGGGAGGCGGGGGCGGGCGGCGGAGGGCAGGGTGGGCGGCAGTGAGTTCCTGGAGCCGCCTCAGAAGCGCCGCCACGTGGACGCCTCCTCCTCCCACGCGCCCCGCCCCCCTGCCTCGCGCGCTGCCCTGGGCGTGGGGCCACGAGGCAAGGCAGTGGGCGCAGGGGGAGGAGGGGCTGGGAGAGGGGCGGTTGGAGGGAAGGGGACGGGGGGCAAGGTTGGGGAAGCCCTGGGTGCTGCTGCTGCGTCTCCTGCTGTTGCTGCTGCTGGCTCCGCTGCTCCTCTTCCTCCTGCTGCTGCTGGCGCTGGTGCTGCTGCTGAGGTTGCTGCTGCTGCGGCGGGGGCTGGTACTGCTGGAGGTGGTGGCGCAGCAGCAGGGGCAGGGGCAGGGGCGTTGGGCGGGGTGGGGGGCGAGTGGGCGCGGGCGTCGTCGGTGTATGCGACCAACACGGACTTCAGTGAGCGCGATGACACCAGCGCGGACAGCGTTGACAACCTGCCGCCGCCCCTCCACCTGCACGCCCAGGGGGCAGCGCAGGGGGGGGTGGCGGGGGCGGGAGGGCAGGGGGGCGAGCAGATGGAGGTCGCCAGTGAGGTGGCGGGCGTTGTGGAGCGCGGGGCAGAGGTGGGTGGGGGAGAGGAGGGGAGCAGCAGGGGGGCACATGCGCAGGTGTCACCTGCGGTGCAGGCGGATGTGGAGGATGAGGTAAAGGAGAGGGCAGTGGCAGAGGGCCGCATGGGGGAGGGACGAGGCTTGGGGGGGAAGCTGTTGCGGATGGCATGGGGACGCAGGGGGGGATGGGAGTAGCGGAGCAGGAGGGTGCTGCTGCTCACAGCACTGCCGCCAGCGCTGGTGCTGCCACTCCTGCTACTGCCACTGCTGCCGCTGCTGCTGCTGCTGCTGTTGCTGGGTCGGCTATGGGTGTGGGCGCAGGGGCTATAGTTGCGGGCGTGAGTGCAGCGAGTGCAGGGCGCATTGAGGCGCGTGGGGGGGGGACGGTGGGGGCGGAGGGCGAGGAGGGGCTGAGCAAGAGCGGGGGGGGGGGGGGGGGGGGGGGGAGGGCGAGGCGGCGACGAACGCGGCGGTGATCAGCACGGGCACGGCGGGGGATGACGCGGAGGGGCCGGGCGGGGGCAGTGTGGCGATGGGGGCGAGCGTGGAGGTGGAGGCGCAGGCGCTGGAGGGCGATGTCGTGGACGCCTCGCGCGCCCTCGCCTCCACCGACGCCCCCGCCTCCGCCGGCGCCCCTCCCCACGCGCCCAGCGCCGCACTGGCTGCTGTGGCGCTCTCCGCCTGCCGCAGCGTGGTGGGGGGGGCCTGGGGGGGCGCTGCTGGCGGCAATGCTGGCACAGGGGCGGGCAGTGCGCCCGGGGGCGCGGAGAGGCAGCATGGGGAGGGCGCAGGGGGGAGAGGGGCAGAGGGGGAGGGGCAGGGGCATGTGGAGAGGGGAGGCGGCAGGCAGGTGGAGAGTTTCAGCTTTGCAGGGGGCGGGTGGGGTGGGCGATGGGGTGGAGGGGAGGACGGGGGCAGAAGGCGAGGGGAAGCTGGGGAAGGGATAAGGGGGAATGCGGTGGGAGGGCTTGGTGAGATGGAAGCTGGGATTGGTGGGGAGCACGAGCACCTTGGCCAGACGGGGGAGGGCATGGGGGAGGGGATGGGGGAGGGGATGGGCGAGGGTGCAGGTATGACAGGAGTTGAGCAGGTGACGGTGGGGGGTGTGGAGGTAGCGGAGACAGGGGGGGGAACGGGGGCGACGGGGGGGAGGGAAGGACGGGGCAGTGGTGGGCTGGGGGAGGGGCGGAGGGGAAGCAGCGTGGGGAAGGGAGGTGAGGAGGCGGCAAGGGGTGAGGATGGAGGGGGGGAGGGGACGGGGGAGGCGAAGGAAGGGCAGGGTGGGGGGCGTGAGTGGGGAGTGCAGAGGGAGGGTGCAGGGGAGACGGGGGGGCCTGAGGAGACCCGCGACACCACCCAGGGGCTGCTCATTGGGGAGGATGCTGACGCGGATGGCGATGCTGAAGTGGACGTCCGTGCTGACGTGGCGAATGCTGGAGCAACAGCAGGGGCAACGGGCGTGCAGGAAGCAGCAGAGGGCACGGGGGAGGTGGGGCTGGCAGCAGGTGGGGCAGAGGGGGGCGGGGAGGGGGCGGTGGGGATGGATGTGGATGAGGGGCAGGGGGAGGGCGGGGGGGTGGCGGAGCAGCGTGGGCGAGTGGGGGAGCGGGCAGTTGGCGATGAGCTCGTGAGTGGCGGCGGCGGCACGGGTGGCGTGAATGGGCATGGAGAGGTGCGGGGGGGAGCAGGCAGCAGGCAGCACAGGGGTGGGGAGGAGCGAGGCGAGCATGGAGGCAGTGGCGATGCACGTGGGGGGGATGCAGATGAGGTGCCTGTGCAGGGAGGAAGGGAGGACGGCCATGGGGGAGTGCATGGGGCTGGCAAAAAAAAGCAGAGTGTGGATGGTACTGCCACTGCTGCTGCCCTTCACGCCCCGCCTGTTCCTGCTGCTCGTGCTGCAAGTGGTGCTGCCAACGGTGTGGGTCCACCTTGTGCGGGGGAGGCTGAGGTCAGCAGCGGCTCACCTCCCGCTGCTGCCAATGCTGCCACTCCTGCCGCGCCGCCTGCTGCCAGTGCTGCTGCTCCTGGCCCTGTCTCTGCCCTTCCTGCCACTGACGTTGGCCCGCCCACTGGTGCGTATTGTTGTGCTCCCACCACTGCACTCTCTACGCCCTTGAGGCTGCTCTCCACTCTGCTCGTTCCGAAGTTGCTTTCACCTCACATCCTTGTTTTCTCCTCACGCCCCCGCTTTCACCTCACTCTGCTTTCACCTGTAGAATAGCCCTGCCCCGCCACCATTCACCAGCCCATCACCAAGCTTCACCACGTTCCACCACATGCACGGCCCATGCCGCCTCACTTTGCCACATGCCTCCGTGCAACCCTTTCCCTCCGTGCAACCCTTTCTCTCCGTGCAACCCTTTCCCTCTGTGCAACCCCTTGCCTCCGTGCAACCCCTTGCCCCCCTGTTCTGACTCAGATGAGCCGCAGCGCCTCTTTGACCCGCTGCTGAGCCACCGCCGCTTCTGCCCGTGGGTCAACGCCCTCGCCGCCTCCCACCGCCTCAGAGCCCTCGCTACCCCCGTCCAGGACCTCAGCCTGTCTGCCTCGCCCCATGCCCACCGTCTCCCTGCCGTGCCCCCCTCCCACGGCGCCGGCCCTGAGGCGGTGGAGGGAGGAGTGGCCGGATGGCAGCAGTGCCTGGCCGCGCTGCTCCACGTGCTGCCCGCCGCCGCTGCCCCCGCTCACAGACTGCTGCACTCCGCTGCCCACAGGGCTGCTGAGGGGGCCGACGGGGCGGCTGAAGGGGCGGCGGACTGGCCGCCTGGAGGAATGGACGCACACGACTCGGTGGCATCCTTCAAGGTAGGTGGCATCGTTCAAGGTAGGTGAAAGATCCTTTGGGGGCATGGAGCTCAGGTGCTGAGAGTGCGCGCAGCATGGTGGCTTGTGTTCCTAGGGATGCTCGTCTGGATGCTGGACACTAGCCCTGGCCCGCCTTCTAGGACCGTTAGAATGAGTCTAGTCTGGGCAGGCTAAGACGTTTTTGGGCAGGTAAAAAAACGGGTGGAGGTGGGAGGGGAGGGGGTTGGGGGGTTGGGCGCAGAGCAACCACAATGTAGACGAGGGGTTGTGGGTGGTAGCCAGGTGCACCGCTGAGACTTCACTGGCCAAGATGTCGTATCATTTGGCGTGCCAGAACTCTTGTGCTCTTCCCCTTTTCCTTGCTTCCCTGTCTTGCTCTCCACATAATTGGTAAAGACGGATGCACCATGTGCCATGCACCATCACATACCATGCGCATCCATGCATCCTACCTCACGTGTTGTACATGCACGCATGCATGGTGGCTCATGTGTGTGACAGGGTGACACGGTCTCATCTGTTCGAAGACTCTTCCAAGGCCGACGTTCCTCGTCCTTTGTCTCTCGCACGCATCACTCCCCTCAGTAGTAATTACATTCCACATTCAAGCGGCCTTTCAGTTGCACATGTGGCCAGGCCACTATGGCTGAACTTCCTGTTTAGCTCAGCTCTGCACAACCTTCATGCTTACCTGTCTTGTGACTTGTCTCCATTCATCTACCGTAAGCCCCCGGATAGAAGCGCAGGCCTCGGATAAGCGCCGGCGCTTATAAAAGGATGAGGGCGCTTATATCCGGTCCTCGATTATAAGCGCACCCCCTAGAAAAAGATGATATATTATAAGCGCATGCTTTATTTTCATTTGAAAACCTGTCAAATTACAGAAATGAATTTCATATTATCAGGGAAACGAGCTACAATTTCGATTCCCCACACTCTGATCTCACTCCTGCGCCTAGTCAGCATACGCTGTAATTCAGTCAGTGTGAGCTGGCAGGGTATCAATGCCAAGCTGCGCGAGAATCAACTTCGCGACCCTATATGTTTGCGACTCGATTACAATTGGCAGAACGAGATCTACAGTTTGGTGTAAAACATATATATATATATATATTTCCATTTTATAAGCGCTGGCGCTTATAAAATTCCTCAATTATAAGCGCACCCCCTAAAAAACAGTGTTTTTTTATACCCCCAGGGGCGCTTCTATCCGGGGGCTGACGGTATCTGCAGTACCTTTTGGCAGGGATGGGTTGAAAAACATTGCGTGAAGAAGAGAAAAAAAGAATGTATAAAAACAAGACACCTTCATTGCTTAGATACACTAATGACTCATCGCATATTGTTGAGAAAAATGGCAGCTAATATTGTAAACCGAGAGAAATGGGTGACTTACAGATCATGTAAATTGGGAGGCCTTCATACACTCGGATATGCAAAACGAATGTGGTAGTCGCACGCATTTTCCCATGCATAGGGCGATTATGGCGCATTGTTTTCATTTGGCGGCAAAATTTGGCGGTTTTGAGGGCGTCGAACATCCGTTCGTGTACGAATCAAAGCCAAGATTGTCTTAGAAGGTGCGTTGGAACATAGGCTACTCGGATATGCAAAAAGAATCTGGTAGTTGCACGAATTTTCCCACGCATAGGGCGATTATGTCGCATTTTTTTCGTATGGCGGCAAAATTTGGCGGTTTCGAGGTCTTCGAGCATTCGTTCGTGCACGAATCAAAGCCGAGATTGCATTAGAAGGTGCGTTGGAACATAGGCTACTCGGATATGCAAAACGAATGTGGTAGTCGCACGCATTTTCCCATGCATAGGGCGATTATTCCGCATTTTTTTCGTATGGCGGCAAAATTTGGCGGTTTTGAGGGCGTCGAACATCCGTTCGTGTACGAATCAAAGCCGAGATTGTCTTAGAAGGTGCGTTGGAAGATAGGCTACTTGGATTTGCAAAAAGAATCTGGTAGTCGCACGCATTTTCTCATGCGTAGGGCGATTATGTCGCATTTTTTTCGTATGGCGGCAAAATTTGGCGGTTTTGAGGGCGTCGAACATCCGTTCGTGTACGAATCAAAGCCGAGATAGCCTTAGAAGGTGCGTTGGAACATAGGCTACTCGGATATGCAAAAAGAATCTGGTAGTCGCACGCATTTTCCCATGCATATGGCGAATATGCCGCATTTTTTTCATTTGGCGGCAAAATTTGGCGGTTTTGAGGGCGTCGAACATCCGTTCGTGTACGAATCAAAGCCAAGATTGTCTTAGAAGGTGCGTTGGAACATAGGCTACTCGGATATGCAAAAAGAATCTGGTAGTCGCACGCATTTTCCCATGCATAGGGCGATTATGCCGCATTTTTTTCATTTGGCGGCAAAATTTGGCGGTTTTGAGGGCGTCGAACATCCGTTCGTGTACGAATCAAAGCCGAGATTGTCTTAGAAGGTGCGTTGGAACATAGGCTACTCGGATATGCAAAAAGAATCTGGTAGTCGCACGCATTTTCCATGCATAGGGCGATTATTCCGCATTTTGTTCATATGGCGGCAAAATTTGGCGGTTTTGAGGGCGTCGAACATCCGTTCGTGTACGAATCAAAGCTGAGATTGTCTTAGAAGGTGCATTGGAACATATGCTACTCGGATTTGCAAAAAGAATCTGGTAGTCGCACGCATTTTCCCATGCATAGGGCGATTATGCCGCATTTTTTTCATTTTGCGGCAAAATCTGGCGGTTTTGAGGGCGTCGAACATCCGTTCGTGTACGAATCAAAGCCGAGATTGTCTTAGAAGGTGCGTTGGAACATAGGCTACTCGGATATGCAAAACGAATCTGGTAGTCGTGTCAAACATTATATATGTTGTATTTGTTTAGGCTACAGTGGGTTAGCCTATAGGGGGTACACAATTCTAGGGTTAGGTACTTGTACTGATTTCACTGTTAGTTCAACCATTCCTGTCCGTTCATTCTGACATGGTTTCAGAGCAGGTCCGTCACTAGGACCGTTTTAGGGCCCACCGTTACCTACCTACCTATCTACCTACCTACCTACCTACCTACCTACCTACCTACCTACCTACCTACCTACCTACCTACCGTGCGCCCTCGTGCGCCTACGCGCCCTCGTGCGCCTTCTACCTACCGCGCGCGCGCAGCCCGCCAGCCACCCGCGCGCGGCTCGTCTTTTTTTTTTTTTTTAACGCGCGCGACCCGCTAGCCGCCCGAGCGCGGTCGATTTTTCGCGCGTGACCCGCTAGCCGCCCGCGCGCGGCCGTTTCTTCGCGCGCGGCCCCGCGCGCTGCCCGCCAGCTGCTCGCGCGCTGCCTGTGCGCCGCCTGTGCGCGCTCGCTGCCGCGCTCGCTGACGCGCCCGCTGCTGCAGCCGCCCGTCACCTGCTCCGCGGTCGCGCGCCGCTGCAGCTCCTGCTGTCGCGCCCGCTGCTGCTGCCGCCCGTCGCCAGCTGCCGCCTGTGCGCCCGTGCGCCACTGCTGCTGCCGCTGCCCGCGCGCCGCTGCCTCTGCTCTAAGCCCGCGCGCTGCTGCCGCCCGTGCGCCGCTGCAGCTCCTGCTGCCGCGCTCCCTACTACTGTTGCCCGTGCGCCATTACCGACCGTCAACCCCGCCCGCGCCTCTCCTAGCGGCCCCGCCGGCCGGTCGATTCCGCCTGCGTCCCACCTAGTAGCCCCGCCGGACCTATCGACCGCCCTCCGCATAGAGGCCCCGCCGGCCCCGTTGACCCTGCGCACACCTTTCAAGCGGCCTTGTTACTACTGCTACTACTGCTACCACTACTGTTCCTACTACTACTGCTACTGTCACTATGGCTAGTCCTACCGTACTCGCTTTCGATGCCGAGGGCCGTCCAGTGAAGTTCGAAACCTGGCTAGATGACCTGCACCTTTTCCTACAGCTCACTGCCAAGGAGGATATCTCACTGTACTGTCAGAATCCCAGCCACTAACCACTGGGATAAAAGGGCTTGTTTATATAGCGGGTGAGTGCGCCCATAACCCCCCAGGCCGACGTGCCTGTAACCCTTCCCTAGGATCATCGGGGATCTCCAGTGGACCTCTGACACCCCCCCGCACTGGGATGCCCGAAGTGCACACACCGGGAATCGAACCCGAGACCTTCGCTCTGATACCATGTCAGAATCCCAGCCACTAACCACTGGGATAAAAGGGCTTGTTTATATAGCGGGTGAGTGCGCCCATAACCCCCCAGGCCGACGTGCCTGTAACCCTTCCCTAGGATCATCGGGGATCTCCAGTGGACCTCTGACATGTACGACCACGCCCTAGGCCATGCTACTGCCCCTGACACTTCTGCTGACAGCACTCTGCGCTCCCAGTGGCAGACCCGTGACGCGCACGCTCGCTTCGCTATTCGCAACTCCCTACCGCTAGACGAGCGCGAGCACTTCGGCCAGTGCAAGACTGCTAAGGAACTGTACACAGCCGTAGTTGCTCGTTACTCCTCACCGGCTTCTGCTACACTAGGCCGCCTCTCACTGCCCTACCTGTTCCCCGATCTGGCCTCCTTTCACACTGTTGCTGACCTCATCACCCACCTCAAGACTAGTGAGGCCCGCTTTCGCGCTGCTCTGGCTCACTCTCTACCACATTGTTACCCGCCTCCCTGACTCTCTGCGCGCAGTCAGGGATTCCTTTCTAGCTCGCTCCCCTACTGAGCTCACCATTGCCCTCCTCGAGAAGGACCTACTTGCAGCTGAGGCGAGCATCGTCGCCGTAGGTGCCTCTCGTGGCGAGCCCCGCACCCCCTTCTTTGAGGGGTGTTCCCCTTCCCCCCTTCTCCCCTCTGTCGCCTCTGCTGCTGCTGTCGACCTCCTTGGTGCTGAGAAGGTCGGGACCGCGTCTGCTCCGAGCGGGCGCCGCAGGAGCAAGGGGGGCAAGGGTGGAGGTGGTGGCGGGGGAGGCGGGGGTGGTGGCGGTGGGGGTGGAGGTGGGACTGGAGAGGCTAGTGGCGGCAGTGGGGGTGGTGACAGCAGCGGCGGGAGCAGTGGCAGGGGCGGAGGCGGCAGCGGAGGCGGAGGTGGTCGTGGCGGCGGCAGGGGTGGAGGTGGCCGAGGCGGTGACGGCGGCGGTGGTGGTCGTGGAGGCGCTGGCGGTGGCCAGAGCCAACAGCACGCCCCGTCGCTCCAGGAGGCACGTGAGTGGTACTCGCAGCGGGGGGGGGCGGGTGGCTTTACCTGCACGTACGTCATCCGCACTGGTGACCGCACTGGCCAGACGTGTGGGAGGCCGCACCCCACGCACCGCTGTTTCTCGCGCCTTACCGACGCTTGGCGCGCTCAGTTCCCTGGCGGCGCTGAGCTTCCCCGCTGGGGTGATCTGGAGAGGAAGGGAGTTGATATCTGGGCCTTAGAATTTGATGCTATTCTCACTGCCATGTATGCGATGTTTACTAGTGGAGAGGGTGCTCAGTACTTGCGTGTTCCGCCCGACCCGGGCATTCTGACCAGTCCGGCTGCCGCTCTAGGTGCTAGTGAGTCTGCTGCCCCAGGTCCTGGTGAGGCTGCTGCTCTAGGTGCTCGTGAGTCGGTCCCCCCTGGTACTGAGTCGAC